GGCCCAATCAAGTATAGTATACGGATATGTAGTTCCTGCGGATTCACTCATATTGAAATAGGAGTGAAGAGTCCTTTTAATTGTAATACTAATTTGAAATTTAAAAAAACTATTAAATATTTATAATATTTATCATATGCACGTAACTTAATTTAATTTCATTCATAAATATTCATATATGAATACAAAAAATACAGATTGACATAAATATACAATATTTAGCCCTGTAATATCTAACAGCAGTATATTAAGTCTACAGGTCGACAGGTCAACAGGTCTACGGGTCTACAGGTCAACAGGTCTACGGGTCGACAGGTCTACAGGTCTACGGGTCGACAGGTCTACAAGTCAACAGGAATAAATGGCTTGATATAGACCTGTCGACCTGTACACCCGTCGACCTGTCAAACTGTAGACCCGTAGACCTGTCGACTCGTAGACCTGTAGACCCGTAGACCTGTCGACCTGCAGTCCTGTAGACCTTTAGACCCGTAGACCTGTAGACCTGTTGTCCTGTCGACCCGTATACCTGTTGACCTGTAGACCTGTAAACCCGTAGATCTGTAGACATGTTAAACTGTAGACCCGTAGACCTGTAGACTTGTAGACCTGTAAAACTGTAGACCCGTCAACCTGTCAAACTGTAGACCCGTAGACCTGTCGACCTGTAGTCCTGTAGACCTTTAGACCCGTAGACCTGTCGACCTGTAGACCTGTTGACCTGTAGATCTGTAAACCCGTAGATCTGTAGACCTGTAGACCTGTCAAACTATAGACCCGTAGACCTGTCGACCTGTAGACTTGTAGACCTGTAGATCTGTCGACCTTTAGACTTGTAGACTTGTAGACCTGTCGACCTGTACACCTATAGACCTGTAGACCTGTCGACCTGTCGACCAATAGACCTGTCGACTCGTAGACCTGTATATCTATTGACCTGTAGTCCTGTAGACCTGTAGACCCGTAGACATGGTGATCTGTAGATCTATATAGACCTATCATCCTGCATACCTGTTGACCTGTAGACTCATTAACCCATTGTACATCTTGTAAACCTCTATACTTCTGTTATAATTTTTTTTTCATAAAACTTACATATAATCTCAAATTACATTGTTTGTAAGGACTTTTGGCATGTAATACAGACAAATTAAATATTTCATAATGATACATACTTATTCATACTTACATGTAATAATTAATTTACATAAAAATTAAACATATTTTGATTTCTTTCTTTATTAATAGTAATGATTATTGCGCATTAATATACCCAAATATTTTTTTTTTCAAATAAGAACTACTTTTCCGTATAACCAACTTGGGCCCCAATATCTTTCACTACTAAATTTTATTCATTCACTACAACATTACCCTATTTAACTTTCCTGCCAAACTCCAAATTTCACTTTCTTATTAGCCCGAGCCGATGCTGATAACCTACTTGCAAGATTTTTTTTATATTATTTTATATTTAACCCTTCATTTGGAAATATTTCAGGTTATTTCCATTCTTATGTCGATACGATTGATCCCAGTTAGCTTGAGACACACACACACACACACACAATTGTTTCATATTTGGATATTTTACTTGAAAAAGACGTTAATATTAATCTAACAACCAAGCCCTAAGATAAACGTGAAGACTAACTTTCGATAATCAACTTCCCTTACCTATGCAGCAATATACTTTCATCACAGTTTATATCTATCAGTTGATTCGATACGGAAGAGCATGATTTACGTATGTACAATTTCTACAACGAGGTAAATCATTGGCAAACAAGTTTATGAAACAAGACCATCAGCCGTCTCATTTAAGATACAATGACCTTGTCAGCAAATACAATTTATCATTGAGTCAAATTCTGACTGACGTTTTTCATACTAATTTACACACTTTTACTCGTTATTTCTTGATCATGACAAGGAACACACGGTGGGTGTGACCGGTCAGCAGGGGATGATCACTCCTCCATTGCATCTGATCCCGAGTCTGATGTTTTGGAGCTCCGTGTTTGCTCTGCTCCTATTTTGTATTGTTTATTGGACTTATGAACTTGAATACTGTTCGTTATCTTCATGTAAATAATAATGTATTTCTTTGATGTTTTCTACCACACAATGTTATTGATTTGCTCGTGTAAAGAATTTGAAAAATTTTAGATACAGACATTGCTGAGGAAGAAAACATTTCACAAGATTGATTGATTGACCCCAAGAGTAAAAGTATAAAAATTAAGAAACCATATTACATACCTGCAGCAATATGTAATCATCTTACAAAAGATGAATACCTCCTGTGTAAAATGTAACAGGAGTTCTGGGAACAAGTTTTTAGGTAAATTGAAAAAAATTTTTTTTTCGTAACCACAAACACGCTCTTCCTCCTTTAACCTCCCGATTCACAAACCTTTTTCACTTCTAGAAAATTGAATATGAATGAAAAAGATTCGTATATTTTGTGTTTTAATCAGTCCTTACAGCTTATTTCTAATATCAAGACCGTGGTTAATTTGGTCAAACTTCAAGGTGGAGGTCAAAAGTTTAAAATGTTGTTGCTTAAATAAAGGTCTGATCACATGGAATACATGTACATATGAAATATGAAAGCCCTTGCACAAACACTTCAGAGATTATATGTTAATGATTTTCCCAAATGTTCTTGTCCCAAGGCTGAATCTTAGATTAATTAAGAAGGACTAAAAATTCGCCTTACCTTCCTACCTACCCATTTTTTTCTGAGTCGGGAGAGGACAATCAAACATTATTTAAAGATGGCAGGTATATTGTAAATTATGAAAGTTTGATTTTTTTTAATGTGATTAATTTTAATTAATATATATAATAGCAGGTAAAAAGCTGAATGCAAATATTTGGATCAAAAATTATACGAGGGCTGTTCAATAAATAATGTCTTGAACTATTACATGCAAGATCGAAAGGACTTAAGCTATACCAGGTAACTTGTCTACTGCATTCATATTTCACAAGTGCATTCCTTTTGACAAAACTTTTTTTACGCACAAACATATTTGATTTCTTGAACATGACCTTTAGGTTTGAACCACTTTCGCAAAACTTTATCTTGGGCATAACTTTTGAAATTGTAGAGCTAGTTTTTCATACGTAAAATATAATAGGCTGCAGAACTGTGGTATATTATTTTTATGCCATCGTAATCGAGGATCCGGGGGTATATAGTTTTGCCCTGTCCGTCTGACACTTCGTTTGTCTGTTTGTCCGAAAAACTTTAACATTGCCCATAACTTTTGAGTTGGTGGGGCTATGGCTTTCATATTTCACAGGTGAATTCCTTCTTATAAGACATTTCTTGGGGTGCCAAAATTTGACCTAATGACCTAGACCTTGGAGTTTAATCCACTTTTGCAATAAAAAAAACTTTTATCATTTAAAAAAAGATAATTTAAGTTCATCACAGCTGTACCAATAGTAAATTAATCAATTCATCGTTCTGATTTAAAATTCGTGAATTTTTCGTGTTATAATGCTAACAAAGAACGAGGGCGCTTTTGATTGGCATTCGGCAGGAATCTGGGCGTAATTGAAAAGTGAAATTTTTTTCGACATGTCAAAGGAAATTTTAACATTTTTTTTCATTTATCGGGTTACTGTGCAACAGAAAATTGAGAGCTTTGCTTTGCTAAAAAAAATAACTTGAATATTGGCCAGATAAGACATTTGGTACAAAATTGTACATTTTTAAATACGTTTTTCTAAACTTTTTCTATCTCTGGGTCTTCTCTCCATGATTTTGAAGCGTTATTCGTGTGTATTTTTAATTTAATTCAAAGAAACGAATATACATTTTTGAAAAATGGAGAGAAGACCCAGAGACCAAGAAAAATGAACTTTTTCCCCAAAAATCAAATGTGCGAATGTGGTGCTTCTTTGTCCTTTTTTAAATCATATGTAAATGTGTAGCGGTGATAGCTCAGGAAATAGGGCTACCTGTTCAGTTAGTCTCGTTTACCCCAGACTCTCGCTCTCGAGACTTTGCCCGAGCGAGAGTCTGGTCTATTTAATTTTTGTGATTTCAAATCGAGGCTTACCGAGAAATCGGTATGGATTTTCATTGGCTGATACATTCTCTTCGATGCTAAGATCTGTATTCTTTAAAAAGTCAGAGGCTGCGCCTTTACTTTTATCTGGTTTTATAATAAGATACCTCTGTCAACTTTACAAGGAACGAAAAACGCACATATCTTTGTTTAAAATGTAAAAAGTAAAATCTCACATGTATTTTCATTGTAGTCGCCATCTTGTTAGCCGGTTTAGCGACCTCTACTGGTTACAAAAATCAAATAGGAATCAGACCAGACTCTCGCTCGGGCAAAGTCTCGAGAGCGAGAGTCTGGGGTAAACGAGACTACCTGTTCAGTGCGCTCGTATCAAGAACTTTTTTGGTTCGAGCCTAGCATGGAGCTTTAATTTTTTTTTTCGTGCAAACAACCATTTATTTTGTCAGTTTCGTTTTATGTACTTATGTATTAAAATTTTGAATCAGTTCGGTTCTCGAGCGAAATCAATTCCAATCTTTTATTCTACAAGGTACATGTACACGTATCATGCATCTATGCATTAAATACTTTTGGTGTTTATTTTTTGTTATAGTATGTTATACTATGTTATAGTACCCCTAGGAAAAACGGACATAAATGTTTACAATCTGACAAGGTTTTTCAAACTTAAATGAAAAAAAAAAACATGGAAGTGCTTGTTAAATCTGACCAGCTATGTTCAGCCAACCAAATCATGGACATTTAAACCATAAATGTTTCGTATAAATGATTCCTGCAGATCACATGCCAAATGCGCCCATCTTCTTTGTGCTCAATGAGCCTTATTTTTTAGTTTGGAAGTATGTCTAATCTCAGCGAAATTTAAACGTGAAAATTTGGACTGACGTTTCCAAATTTTGTCTTACTCTCAGAAAATCTCGCTGAGATAAAAAGTTTTGTCGGGATCAAGGTTCCAAAAATTTAAACGTTAAATCATGGTGAATTTCCGGTGATGTCTTACTCTCAGAAAATGATGCAGAGATAAAAGTAGGTTTTCCTTGGCTTATGTTGATAGATACAGATATGATTACGATGGGACTGTTTGGGCGAGCGCAGTAGTACTACGTATCAAAAACCTTTAACACGGTTTACACTCAGGATCCTCCAACTTCAAACGACACGAGACATTGTCAGATTGTCTAGACCACAGGCATTGAGAGTTAATGTAAATATAGAGTTTGCATGTTTTGTTCATATACTACACTTGTCAAAGTCTAAAGTTACAGTAATGTTCAGTGCCTGCGATATCTAGACTGCATCACGCGCACCTGACGAATGGATGACCCCCCCCCCCCCTCGCCCAACCCCAAACTTTGAAGATTTTTTTTTTACTAGACATAATAATTTATCCTCAATATATGAATTCCCAATCTAATATATTGACGGTGCGACCATTAAGGCAAGCACAAATACGTGTATTATTTTAATGTAGATCGGGCTTGTCAAACTGCACATGACTATTGATGAGATTTGGTGCAGTCTTTGACATTACATGACGTTGTATGTAAGTTGGCTTACCAAAAAGAATCCTCCTTTCACATTCACTTGGAGGGTGGGATGGTGCTAGAGATATTCACTCATACAATGTACAGTAAAACTAAGACAAAGTTATAGTGAACATCCTGATAATGAATTGACACTTAAATTTAAGTAGTTTTTATTCTGGTGGATTTTAAAACATATTCTGAAGCTAACCGATATAAAGAATTACATTTATAAGCAATATTGCCATTACTGGCACTTCGCTCTAAGCATGTTTTACTGTATTCTTTGATACTGCTTTTTAGTTTGTCCAGGAAGCTGAATGAGTTGGAAACCATTGAAGGCTATAATGTTTACATTTAGTGCAATAATGATAACAAGCAAATTTTCACTTCTGTATGTGTATTGGTAAGTTTTTTTTTTAATCACAGATCATATGTTTTGTAGCCCAGTGGTTTGTTAAAATTGTCAGCCAAGCATAGCCAGCATTTGAAACTTGAGTGTATCTATAAGTCTTGGTGCTTACTACCCAAAAAGAGACCTCTGACCAAAGACGTAATTACAGAACAATATGGACTCGGGCTCAGATGGAGCATTTCAGCCAAATGAGGACATCGTTAATATTCTAACCTCCTTAGGATTTTCTCGAAATGCATCTATCAAGGTAAAAAAATTATATACATACTTTAATACAATTGAAAAAATAATCTTTTTTTTTTTTATAGAAAAAATGCCATATGTCTGATGGCATCAAAATATTTAGTGCCAGGCTGAACTAAAAACATGTTTGTCTTCATTTACTGCAGGCTCTCTATTACACTGGGAACAGTAATGCTGATCTAGCTGCAGCATGGGTCATAGAAAACCAACATCGCAGTGACATTGATTCACCTCTTAATGTAAGCAAAATAAAATTGATTAATTATTGTAATTTATTGAATCAATCATCACGATGAAAACAACTAAAAGTAATGAATCTTGTTATGCAATTTGCATGTACTTTGTTTTGGCAGTATATGTATCAAATAGGGATGGGTATCGCCAAAAATTTCGTATCGCGATATATCACAATTTTTTCCCCACAATATCACGATAATATCATAATATTTTTATAAGCAGTTTTTACAATGATTTTATATGAAAAGTCATTATTTTTCTAAAAAATATGCTAGAAAAACAAAATTTTACTTTCTTGAAATTATTATGTATACAAAATCAATTATGTTTTGACGGTAAGATGCCGTTCTTTTCACTTTTTAATCATTATTTATACTTGCTGGAATTGTAATATTAAAGATTGAACAAATAAATGAATAATTTTTGGATTTTATAATATGTACCTAAAGACCGGTATTTAGATCTCTGTATCACGATACGTATCACGCAACAAAAAATCGCGATATACCGGTATACCGATAAAATCGCACATCCTTAGTATCAAAGACTTCTTTTACAGAAAGAACTTTTAAACAAATTTTAAAATTTGTTCTTGCACAAAATCTTGTACAGTAAATGATTCATCTTAAAATAAATTGTATGAAAGTATCTTTCATAATTCTTGAAAAATATTTACACTGTTTTTAAACTTGTACAAAATAAAGTTAATTGCCGACTTATAATTTGGTCTTAGTTGTTAGTTCTTTTATAAAACAGGGTACCTTAGGATAAGAAAAAAACATATTCAAGCTTACAAAATGAGTGATTCAATGATTATGAAAAATGAATCTCATAAAGAAATAATTTTTAACAGGAGGATGAATCGGATGACCATGGGGATGAGGCAGGATATTTACCAGAAGGAGTGGACTTCTATAAAATGGTCTTTGTGGTCAACTCGGAGCTGGACATGGGGGTCGGTAAAACGGCTGCACAGGTTGCTCATGCTGCTCTGGGATTACATCGTACCCTGCTTGATGATCCTCAGAAGTATGGACAGATGTTGATGAGTTGGGAACAGTTTGGGTCAGTTAATGTACTTGACCACATGGTATGAATGTGGTTCTTACCGAATACATGTACTGTACTGGAAGAGTTAAACTGACTAAATGTATTTTTCCATGTCTCAGAGTTAAAACCAAATTGATAAACTTGAGAGTTAAATTGACATCTTTTTTTTTCAAAAATCTTCTTCACATTCTATTGATATGTTAAAATTTCTTAATTTTGATTTGTTATAATTGAGCATTGTGAAAGATTCTTGTTTTTGCCCTATGTTCTAATTATACCCCACGCAACTAGTTGCGGGAGGTATAATGTTTTTGACCCGTCCGTCAGTCAGTCAGTCAGTCAGTCCTCTTTTTTTTGTCAGCGCAACTCCTCATAAACCGCTGCACAAATTTTAAACTTTGCAGGTATTTAGGACACATTGTGTAGATGTGCATATTACCAGGAAATTGATTCCATTATTTTTTCGGGAATTTACTTTTTAACTTAGGCATTTGGCCATACCTTGAATATAGAGATGAACAGTTTGTCAGCGCAACTCCTCATAAACCGCTGCACAGAATTTTCAAACTTTGCAGATATTTAAAACACAATGTGTAGATTTGCATATTACCAGGAAATTCCGATTCCATTATTTTTTCCGGGAATTTCCGCACTTTTTAACTTAGGCATTTGGCCATACACTGTACCTTGAATATAAAGATGAACAGTTTGTCAGCGCAACTTCTCATAAACTGCTGCACAGAATTTCGTCAAACTTTGCAGGTATTTAGGACACAATGTGTAGATGTGCATATTCCCAAGAAAATTCAATTATTTTTAACAGGAGGACTTTCCACACTTTTTAACTTAGGCATTTGGCCATACCTTTTATATAGAGATGAACAGTTTGTCAGCGCAACTCTTCATAAACTGCTGCACAGAATTTCATCAAACTTTGCAGATATTTAGGACACAATATGTAGATGTGCATATTACCAGGAAATTCCGATTCCATTATTTTTTCCGGGACTTTCCGCACTAAATACTTAGGTTTTTGGCCATACCTTGAATATAGAGATGAACAGTTTGTCAGCGCAACTCCTCATAAACTGCTGCACAGAATTTTGTTAAACTTTGCAGGTATTTAGGACACAATATGTAGATGTGCATATTACCAGGAAATTCCGATTCCATTATTTTTTCCGGGACTTCCCGCACTAAAAACTTGGGTTTTTGGCCATATTTTGAATATACAGATGAACAGTTTGTCAGCACTACTCCTCTTAAACTGTTGTACATAGTTTTGTCAACCTATGCAGATATTTAGGACATATTCCATTATTTTATCCCAAAGAGTTTTGCCTATTATTCAAGAAAATTTCCCCCCCCCCCTCCCCCCCAACCACTTCAAATTAATGTTTGGATTTGTATAATGTCATTGACAAGAAATTTTGATTCCATTATTTATCTAGAAACTTCATTCCACATTTAAATGTCCTCATATGCAAGACATTTTGATGTGAAGATTTTTTTGCAATTATTGATTTGTTATAATAAAGTGCACTAGCTGTGCCTTTCATTATGTGTTTCACAGTCAAGTTTTTCTTGTGGGGTATTTGCTCACTTTTTCTAATTTTTGAAGAAACAATGGTTTGATATAGCAATAATTCTTGTAAATATAATTTAGGAGATGAAACCATTTCTTTTCTTTGTTTAGAGAAACTAAAATTGTAACAAAGGGAGATAACACAGCACAGTTAATGAGCCTTGCAGAAAAAGCTTCAAATCTAGATCTGCCACATTATATTGTTCATGATGCAGGTAAAACACAGGTAAGAAAGGTCACAGAGCTGAGCCTATATTTAAAATATTTGTGTCATTTAGAGGACAAGGACTGAGATATCTGGAAAATTGGTTTCAAGGCTTTTAAATTTTCTCTATTTGTAACAATATAAACAATGTATATTAATATAGCTGACCTTTTTTAAAACAAATGTATACAATTTTATTACATTTTTACCAGTGAAATACTGCAATTTATTCATTGAATAAAAATGATATCCTGTCACAGTGTGAAAGAATATCAAAATGATATCCTTTCACAGTGTGACGAATATCAAAAGTGCAATAAAACTCTCAATTTTCCTTCCCGTAACGGAGAGTGTAGTTAAAAAAAGCTTCCTTGACCTGAAATAAGATAAATAGAAGTGAATAAACAATTCTGACAGAGAATAAAACTGCCAAAATTACCCAAAATATTTTTTTCAATCCATGTTTACAATGTTTTCACCTCATTTAGCTATGACGTCTTAACCACTCAGCTATGATGTCCTTTAACCTATGACAGTATTACAAAAAGACAGAGGCAAAGGAAAAATCAAAGAAAATTTTAAGAATATAATAAACAGAAAATTCAATGTTTTGTAGTTGAATATGGAATTTATTTCACTCGTGAGAGGATTTTTTGAAATTTTCACGAGTGCTACGCACTCGTGAAAATATAAAAAAATCTTGTCCCACTTGTGAAATATATTCCATATTCAACAACAAAACATTGAATACCCTCTATATATTTACAGATTCCTTCTGGATCTACAACTGTTTTAGCAATAATGGGTAACCTTGAAGTCGTGGACTCAATCACAGGCTCCCTCAAACTTCTTTAATGATGGAGGGGATGATAATTTTAATTATAGCTTGAATTAAAGAAAGGACTGGGAATATCTGCTTGAACAGACTATTTATTTATGCTGCCATTTTTGTCATGTTATGCCATAGGCTATCAAGCTGTATAAATTTCATTTCTGTACAATTAATGAATTTGACATTGTCAAATGTATTTGTCCTTTGTATGACAAAGATAGCAAATTTTCATTAAACCAATGTCATACAGTGAAAATGTTGTACAAAACCAATGCTTTAGGAAGATTTCAGTTTAATTTTTATATACCCGCATTTATGTTACACCTGAATTAAATATTCCTGGAATAAACTAGTACATGCTCAGATTCTTGAATGTAACATGTTCAGTACACACTGTATAGATTCAAAAGCTTACATGTAATTGTCTTCATTGAACCATTTGTTCCTTGTTTTAGTAATTTTCCAATGATAGCAATTTATGTCACCATTTTTAACTGTTCTCTGCACAGAGCTGCTTTTACACTTGTGAACATTGTGCAGTTGATCTCTTTCATTGCTGTTTGTGATATTTAGGTTTATTAAGTTTCTGTACACAGATGTGTACATGTTTTACTGAGAACAATAAGAATTATATTGTTGCTTAATTTATAATCATGGAGATTAAAGCTATGGATTGAATTTTGTTTTAATTTTATTTTTTCCTTATGGGGGCTCTTATCACATGTACTCCTACATGTGAGAGCCTTGGTTAACGTCCCTACGCTCCTTATATACCTCAAAGTCAAAAGTATCTCGCCGTGAACCTCTAGCATGCTGGAGTATTATTACATGTAACACTTCACACTGAAGAGTTTTATTTCCAGAGTAGTGATCTGCCTTTTGATGTTAAATGGGATAGTTAATTGACACAACCTGAAATAGATTATATTGGACAAATTGAAGAGAGTTGATATATTATTTACATGTTTTTATCAACCAACAGTGATTTTTTTTTCTCACTAATATGGCATAGGCGTCAGAACGGGGGGGGGGGGGGGGGGGCTTATCCCTCCACTTTTTTCCCAAATATACTTAAAAGACTACCACTTTGGTCCAAAATTTCCCTCTCTAGTATCAGATATTGGAATCACCTGAAAACTTCTGATTTCTTTGGCCTTTAAACTTTACCAATCCAAAAGTAACTGTAAACTTTCCACATTCTCAAACACAAAATGCAGGTTATCCAACACCTTTTAAAAATGGGGAAAATCAGGTCAGGAGGTCCAAAATCTGTGGTTCAGAAAAGCTTGATTTTTTTTTAATTTTTGATTTACTGAGAGAAGTAGAATTAGACTAAGCACACATAAACTTGCCCCCCCCCCCCCCCCACATCAAGAAATGAAAGATATTGTAATGTTTGTAATACTGGTGTGATTGAGGATGAAATGCACATCCCAAAGAAACACATTCTTTAGTAATATTTATTTTAATTTTCAGTGAGAAATATATTTTTTATGAAAGTAATATTTTTTTTTAAATTTTCAGAGACCCCCCCCCCCCCCACTTTCCACAGACACGTTGCAGTATATATCTTGAAAAATGGGGAAAATGGTGGTGTTTGGAAATTTTTTTTTAATACTGAAGTACCCTGTGCTGAAAATTTCAGTATAACTGTACTCAGCAGTCTGTGAATGTAATTTTTTTGCATTAATGTCCCACTTTCAATTTGCTTTATCCACAAATCATTTTTCTGAAAATTTAGTAACTTTAAGGGAACAAATTTCATTTCATTAATGTCCTATTAGACTTTGTTATGGTATGGTATAGGGGGAGGGGGTGTTCAAGGTCTTTTTTTTTAGCTGTTTAGTTGGTTTATTCAGAGACATTTAATCATTGATAATAGATACCGGTATCTCTGCTAAAACTCGAAAACATATTTATGAGAGCGGGTCACCCTTTAGGTTTTACAAAAAAGGGGACGATTGGCCTATACAACATGTACAAATATCAAATATTTCATTGGCGCAAAAATTCCGCTGACAGTAATCAACTGGTAATATATTGAACAGTAAAAGGCTGTTTTTGGGAGGGTGTCATGAGAACCCCCCCCCTGGATTTTTAACTTCTCCAATGAATGAAGTAAAAAAAAAAAAAAAGTTTAGATCCAATTTACCATGTTTACTGGTTGAACTGTCCGCCGTAAATCCGAATCCACGATATCCGGAAACATAGCTGTTCTCCTGGAAGGTTCTTGCATTAACCATTCGATAAGTGAATCCTGTTCATGTTTATGGCATTTTACATAAAAATTTGGCGTTGATGCCAATACTCAAGGTATTTTTATTTGGAATGTACTCATGTCATGTGTGTTGAACAAAGTTTTCTGATACGTAAAGGAGAATATTGACATTTCTTTCAGGAGAGGAAATATATTACTGTAGTGTATACCGAAAGTTTAAACAATATTGATAAGTCCCTGAAATCTTATTCTTCCAATTTTAACGAAATTTTAACGAAATTAGATGTTTAAAATAAGTTGTATGTTTTTTGTATGATTTATTCTATTTTAAAAAAGTACCGATAACAATCAATAGGTAAATGGACTCCTATGGCAGCCTGATCAGTAGATAGAATGTTCTATCGTTTAAATGATAAATGTTCTACGGACTCGGTTTAACGATTGTGGTGAGGGCTTGTCCTGAGACACAGTTAGATTATTCTAACTACCTGATCATAACCTACTTAGAATAATCTATATGTGTCTCAGAACCTGTAAGCTCTCATCACAGTTATAGTTAAACATAGTCCGTAGAACATTTATCATTTTAGCAATAGAATACTGTATTCTATCTAGGTAGGGGCCTTTTTCTGAATATTTTGAAAGTTGCACAAATGATATTGAGTCAAAGTAATGTTTCTTGTATGATGATGTATCGTATCCATCCATGATCCTGGTTGGGGTGTATGCTCAGGAGCCACTTTGTACTAGACAGGTCTAATACATGATGTAAATTTGATATATTTTTTTTCTTTTTTGTTGATACAACTCTTCTTTGAACTTTCTTGTTTTACATTCCTATATAGTATACGGCTTTAAACTTGCTAACGCTCATTGTTGCAGCAACATATATTCTATTAAGACAGAGTTTCATATCCAGTAGAAGTAGTTAAAGTGAAAGATATATAAAATATATATGTATTAGCGATGTTTTGACAAACTCAAATGCATTCTTAAGCAAAAAATATTGCAAAAGTACCTGAAAGCTAAGGTTGTATCTATAATGACATTGTTGATGAAATTCTCTTATTTTAACTCAGTGCAGTGAACATTTAAAATTACATTCTACATGTTAAAGGAGGGTGAGGTGAGGGGATGGAAGGCACATTTTACATAAAAATATTTATATGTTATTATAATTATACTTGCTCAGTCTGTCAATTGTAGTAACATGTATGAGATTTTAATGAAAACACCATATACATTGAAGTTATGGAAAGCATGCATGAAGTTTCATACCCAGTAAGAGGTTTTTCACAGACAATTTAGTCTGGAGTAGAAAATATGTGATGTACATGTATGTGAGTTTTCAGATTCCTGAGGCTCTTCTTTTAATTTCATGTCTATTTATACAGGAATGTCCAATGCCCATCATTTGGTGTTGGTCACTGTACTTGATGTTAATGACTCTCAGTTTTTGTACCCGAGTTGTGAGAGGTGTTACTCCAAACTGACTGAAGATGGAAACTTAAGGTATGTTTGATCCTTATTCAGTGCTTGCTAAGTTTGGAGGACAGACTTGATCAGCCAAAATAGAAATGCTAAATGAAACTACTGTGTCATGAAATCTAACACATTAACTCTCACATTACAAACGTTAAAATGTTTGTAAATACAGATAGGCATCAGTCAATATAGTTAAAAGTCAATACTAGTATAACCTAACAGAGTCCCATTTTCAAATGAATTCTGTGAAGTTTAAAAAAATGTTATAAGTAAAGACTAGTGGACTGTGGTTGTTGATGTTACATTAATTGACTATGATTGATAATCTAGCATCTTAACTTAACTATCTGCAACTGTGCATTACACCGATTATTTAGTAAAGCCTTTTAGTTTATTTATCATTAAGATGTACAAAGGGAGAAAACTTCTATAAGTTTAACTTCACTATGTAAAGGCTTTTTGATATACAGTGCACTAAAATCATATGTAATTTGATACTTTTCACTGCACTGCTTTTCAATTAAAATCATTCATGAATCTTAATTTTCACCCTTGTTACAGTTGGCTTTGCTTGAAGTGTGGCTCTGAATGTACAGAAGAAAAGTTAACCTGGCGGTATCGTCTCTCTCTGAGGGTTAGTGACGTGTCTAATGTCTGCAATGTGTGTATTTTTGGAGCCTCTCTGAACCAGTTTTTTGGAGACAATGCATTCAAATTTCACAGGTAAACTTTCAAAGGAAATTAAGTAGAAATGGACAGATAATATCATTTTAATAATGTTTAGTAGAGGTACATACTATACTTAAAATTGAAAAAGAATGTTTATTGTTTATTATGTCTGCTTTCTAGGTAAAACATGTGTCATTATCTAAGCAAATGTTCATTCTGATTAGTTCTAAAATATTTTCAGGAATTTCAAGAATTTATCAACTGATCAGAGCAATGCTGAAGAAATTGTGCATGGAGCAGTGCAAGAGGTTTTTGTTGGCAATTCTTTTTATCTTAGGATGAGATGTGGATTATGTAGAGGCGAAAAACCTGTTACTTTGTCAGACATTGTGAGGTATTCTAATTATGAAAGTCAAGCTTATACACAAGACACTGACAATTCTGGATTATCACTAGTGGCCAGTCAGATTATTCCTGTTGTGGGGAAATCTAACACTGATGTCTCTTCCATAGTTAGGGCTGTTATAAAAGCCCCAGACAAAAACATTATAAAGAGAGCATCTGTAGAGAAAACAAACCCTTTTAAATATTCTTCAGTAATTCCAGAAAAATTCAAACAAGAAGAGTCTGCGGGATCCCTAACAATTACCCAGTCCACTCTCTGTTTGAGCTGTGATTCAATAAGCCAACAGAGCTGTGAAGACTCCAAATACAGAAGTAAAGGACCATCTCTGGCAAATGGAACAGAACTAGTTCAACAGCAGTCAATTACTGATGACAATGTCCCAAAGTTTACAAGTAATAGTAAAGTTATAGGGCAGGTAGAAGAAGAGAGTAGTAAACCATGCTTACCTCTGAAGGAATCTTACCATCAGCAATTTAACAGTGAACATGTTAAACCATCAATTAATTACTTAGATTCCTTGAATAATAAAGAAAAATTGCATATTTCAAAAGGAAGTGATAAGAATAGATCAGAGTGCCTTTTGTCTTCAGAATCTATTGCAGATGCTTCTTGTGATTTATTTGACTCCACACCACCAGTTGAATTAAAGTCCCAGTTCTCTCCCTTTATAAACCCCCTATCTATGTGCAAAAAATCAGCAAAAAGGAGGACAATAGACCACTCCAGGCTGGGTTTTTCTTTGAAAGAGAACAGTTTTCGAAAGAAATGCCATCTGTATCAGAAGATTGAAGTACAAACTGGTAGTGTCTTTTCTCAAGAGTTGTTTACCCCTAGTCCAATTTATAGAGTTGAGTCAGCCAGGAAACTTCGAAACAGTGTAAAAAATTCTTGTCAAAGAAGAATTTCTTCATCAAAGTACTTGAGTTTGCTAAGAAAGAAAACATATAATGTATCATCACTGTGCTGTGACATGCCCAGAGATACTGACAAGGAAGTTCATTTGTTTTCAGAGCCATCTAGAGAAACTGAATCACCTTTGTTATTCTCTGAAAGTAGCACTAACATTTCACTCACTTCACCAGACTCTAGTTATAAAGACAATTTCAGAATTTGCCCCGATTTTTTGTCTCCTGATATATTTCAATCCACTCCTGATGATGGTAACCGGAGCTCCATAAAAAGCACCATTTTATCGCCTTGTCTAGTAAAGCAGTTATTCAAATAATAAATTTTTGGGATTTTCAACCTGTTGGCAAGGAACTTGCATTATCTTTAAGATTTATTCTGTGTACTATGTTAAACAACATTAAAGGTCTGAAGCTAAGGCTATCATTACCAACAAGGAACTTGAAAACCATTACTTTTTGTAGCAACTTTGATGCACTGCAGTCTTTTCTTTTTTTGATTTTAACTTGCTTAAATGTACACTAGCATTGCCAATGCTGTTTATGTTGATAAAACTAAGAAAGCAGGTTTTATAATTTTATGCCATTTTCTGATAGAATATTTGTTCAGAGTTGAATGTTTTGAAAGATTTTATGTATATTCTCTATTTTACAGTAAAATAATAATTTATTATTTACACATGAACTGTTTAGTTAATACAAACAAGATATAATTCTGATACACTGATGCCCCCCCCCCCCCTCCTATATGGCAGCTCATGCATAAGATAATATTTTCTGAAATATGATTGAAAACATTGAAAAGATGGTGTACATAGCAGCAACCATTGAAAAGTTATGACAGAAATTAACGAATTTCAAAAGTGGGTCAAAATCAAAGGCCATGGTCAAAATAAAATGCCCATAGAAAGGTCTTCTAACAAGAAACACACTTGTGATATATGAATGCCCTGGCACCAATTATTCAAATGTTATGGCCAAGGTTAAAGTTTGTCAAAAGTAGGTTAAACAAGAAGGGAATATCTTGTCCCAGTATAAATGTTAGCCTTAGCACAAACCGTTCAGAAGCAATGGCTAAGTTAAAGTTTTCCAAAAGTATGTAGAAGTTCAAGGTCAAAGGGTCAAAACTGCAGCTACCAAAGGGACATTTTTGTCTTAATAAATATACAGGTGAAATAGGAATGCCCCTAGCATCAACCATTTGGAAGTTATGGCCAAGGTTAAAGTTTCTCAAAAGTATGTCAAACTCAAAGGTCAAAGTCAAAGGCTCCAAATTGTAACTACACAAAGGAATGTCTTGTCCAAAGAAATACCCCTGGTAAATATGAAAATAATAGCACTGAGCATTAAAAAGTAATGGCTACGGTAAGTGTTTTTCAAAAAGGGTTAAACTAAAAGGTCAAATGGTAAAATAACTGTATTCATGGAAAAGTCTTTTCACAATAAATACTTATGTGAAGTCACAGGTACTTGTGGACAGGACCCCCCCCCCCCCTCGATATTCAACCTCGGGGCTTATTGGACTTTTTTTCACAAATTATATTTATTACACTTATTCATCAGGTGTACAATATGAAAAAATCGTCAAAACCCCAAAACAATCGCTCCACAAAAAAATACCCTACTATACATTATAAGGGAGAAAGGTATGCCACTCCGGTTTGTTTACGTTGTACCCCCCACTGGTCTTTCAGGGTTTAAAAACGTATTTATTTTATTTCAACCTAAAATGTCGATTCACACTGTCTCTACATATATTTCTGTCTCAGTCCATGCTATCGGAGTAACTCTGCATCTCGTAAGAATCCTATAATATCTCCTTAAACAGCATTCCAGTCAGAATGTTGAAATTTCCCTTAGTAAAAGCAACGGAAGTGCATAGAGAATGTATGATAACACCCGAGAGAGATGATTACGTCAGTCCGAAACTCTCTCGGACGTTATCCTTATAAGTGAATCATTCTCTATGCACTTCCGTTGCGATTACCTAAGGAAATTTCAACGTTCTGACTGGAATACCGTTTAAGGAGATATTGTGGGATTCTTAGATGCAGAGTTGGACTGAGACAGAAATATATGTAGAGACGTAGTGAATCGACATTTTAGGTGAAAATGAAATAAATACATGTTTTTAAACCCAGAAAGAACAGTGGGGGTACAACGTAAACAAATCGGAGTTGCATACCTTTCTCCCTTATAATGTATAGTAGGGTATTTTTTTGTGGAGCGATTGTTTTGGGGTTTTGACGATTTTTTCATATTGTACACCTGATGAATAAGTGTAATAAATATAATTTGTGAAAAAAATTTCGAATAAGCCCCGGGGTTGATAATTGAGGGGGGGGGGGGGTCCTGTCCACAAGTACCTGTGTGTGAAGTGTGAAAGGCTTAGCTTCAACCCTTTCAGAAGTTATGGCCAAGGGAAAAGTTTAAGTTTTGCAAAAGTGGATCAAACTCCAAAGTGAAGACTAGAGATAAAAGTGTGGTTCCCAGGAAATACCTCGTCACGAGGAAAACAATAGCTCTACTTTATCAAACGTTATGAGCACGGTTAGTTTTTTGCGGACAAACAGACGGACAGGGCTAAAAAAGTTTTACCCGGTTCTTTGTTTTCGGGGTCATTAAAATAGAGACAAGAGAAAGTAAACAATGCAGGCTATTAATTACGGAAAGGAAAATCGTAAACACAGCGGGGGTGTTCCAGGGGGTCTCCGAAGACCACCACCCCATGTCACCAACGATCCAGGACCTGATAGGTCATTTCCAGTTATTATTATCCAAGTGTTCCACAGATACCCCTCGACGGTTCAACTTTCATAGAAAGGTCTCGATCACTGCTGATTGGTTCGGGAATAAAGAGATGTAATTTTAAAACTAAATATTGATTAAACGAGTTCATTTTGTTTAAATATATATCTGCACATTCATTCCTAGTGGTCGTAATCATGTATAATTCATTTGTCTAGATTAACAATAGGCAGTTAGATGATTAGAGTGCATAATATATATGTTTCGGTCTTTTTAAATCCCGCCAGGTGTAAGCTACCGATACACGCGATCCTAGTTACCGTCTGCTCGCCTCACGCGGGATTCCTGGCAGACATTGGTTGTCTTTGGATATAGTTCCAGAGTCTGGGAATTGCAATTTTGAGGGAACTTTGAATATGGCGCAAGAATTATTACCCGAGGAGAAAAGCAAAATTGTTGAGTAAGATTTATTCACTAGATTATTTATATTGGAAAGATTTTATTTTCATTACTAGCATTTATCTTTTTGTATGTTGGTTTAGAAGATAAAATTTTGTATAAATCAAGTTGTTTTTGTTTGGTCGGATTTCTACTTGATAGCAAAAGTATTTTGACTGTTTAAGTGTTGCTATGTTATTAAACAGAGGAAACCGATTCCAATATATAAAACAAAGCATTTAACCTATTTTAATTTCATTTACATGTAGTTATTTTAATTTACTAGAAGAGGATCGATGCATTTAGCTAAAAAATAACCAAATATTGTCAAATTAATGATTTATAGTATGTTTATATGAATGTTTGTAACTATAATGGGCAACAACAACAACCCCCTAAGCCTTCCTCTCGTAATGGACAACAAGAACCCCATTCGCCTTCCCCGTAATGGGCACCAACAATCCCCTTAGCCTTCCCCGTAATGGGCACCAACAACCCCCTTAGCCTTCCCCGTAATGGGCACCAACAACCCTCTTAGCCTTCCCCGTAATGGGCAACAACAATCCCCGTAGCCTTCCCCGTAATGGGCAACAACAACAACTCCCTTAGCCTTCCCCGTAATGGGCAACAACAACCCCCTAAGCCTTCCCCGTAATGGGCAACAACAACCCCTACCCACCTTCCCCCATTTCCCTTATAGGCAAAGACCACCCTCATACGCTCCCCCGTTCCTGCATTGACAATCATACATGTAGCTGATCAAGTTTTTAAGTCTCACAAGAAATATATCGATGTAATTTTAAATTCTCTTCTATAGATTCCTATTTGTCGTCGTCATAAAGTTAATATGTTGTGGAACGCTCTGCGATCCTTTTGAGAAACTCGGAAATTATTTTCATTGATCAATAGAAATAATGCATTATATATGCCCTGCGCATTTCTGTTTACCGTTTGAAATACTGTTTGAAGCCCAAGCATTATGAGTTAGGATTCAAGTTTTCTATTAATTGTGGAATATACGATAAAAAGTTCACGCATGTTTTCCTACCCATTTGAACAGTTTAGAATTAGATAAAGGCTGAGCATGTAATTTATCATGCATATTGTTTAAAACACCGGGGTACTAGTATTAAAAGTAAAACGGTTTAAACGCTTTTAATCTTATTTTCTCTCCTGTAGTGTTCATATCCCTAGCCAAAAACTATTTAATGTTCTTTTCATATATGACTTTACTAGTGTTTACCTTTTTGATTGGCATGTTGAATGAAATCTTAGATTGGCGATTAAGACTGTGTCGAGTTCCATGGGGTGGAAATCGTCAATAGGCGCTTTAATAAATCATATCAAGAATAGCTCATAGCATTACAACTAAGGTTTGTTGTTTTTATATTTAACGCATAAGAATTTAAGGTGGCAAACAATTCTAGACACATAAAATATATCCATTTTCCAAAGATTTGAGAAACCAGGACAGCAGAGGTTAAGATTGGAAAGAAAGAAATCCAGGGAGGTCAGCAGGTTCCTGTTAAAGAGTGATTTGGGAGGGTTTCCCTCTCCTCTGAGCCATATTTATTTTTTCTGAAATGGTCACATTGGGGGGTGGGTGGGGGGGATCATTTGTTTGGATATTAACTGCATTATTTTTGTCAGATAAGTAAAATAAATATTTATTATAAATAAAAATTTGAGTATTATGTTATTTTATAAGAGAAACCCCTGCCGTCCATAGCCTTGAAATCGCCAAATGTTATTTAATAATATATGCAAAAGTTTCAATATAAATATATAAACTACAAGCATCCGTGTTGTTTATGTGTTTATGCCCCCCCCCCTTTTTAAGTAAAATTTACATTTTTCCCTTTCTTGTGTTCCTCATATGAAAATCGGATCATATCCTATAGCTGTAATAAAAAAAAAAAAAAAAAAAAAAAGATGAACAGTATGTTTGTTTGTTTGTTTTTAAAATGTAGCTGTTTTTGGATATGGAATTTTTCGAGGTTTAATTTATTCTATACATTTTATTTTATATTTTCCCCTTCCAGTCCAGTGGCGTAGCATCGTTTTTGAAAGTGGGGGGGCCAGGCAGAGAAAATTTTTTTTTACTTACCTGAAAAAGTTGACAAGCAAAAAAAAAACGTGGGGGGGCAAACCAGGCTTTCAATTAACATTTCCTATAGTGTAAGTTAGGTTGGGAAAAAAAGTGGGGGGGCCAGGCCCCCCCTGGCCCCCCGGATACTACGCCCCTGCAGTCATATGTATAACAAAACCTCCTGGCAAAAATATAAACGATTATAACTACTGGTATTTCTGTATAGATATATTTTAAGTTTTTAACTTAATTATACACGTCCTTTTCTTTTGATGAGTCAGCTTGCTTAAGAAAATAAATAAAAGAAGCTTGAAATCCAAGTAACTTAAACTTTTAATTTCAGAGAGCTGAAACCAGCCGTACAAGACTACAGTCACCAGGATAGTTTATTCGGGGTAATTAGAAAAAGTTAAATTCAAAACACATGCATGCACCTGGACATTATTCAATATATATGCCTTTAAATCTCGATCTCTATTACATTATTTTTCTCTCTTCAACATAGAATGCGTTCTCATCAAAGGCCTACTTTATTGTTCACCCAGAATGGCTATCAGAAAATGTAGATCCGCCCAAATCTCAGCCACTGCCAAGGAAACCCTGGCCCTGGGAGCAACCCAAATATCGCCAGAACGTTCAGCGATACGTCAATGGCGAGATGACCCCAGATACCTCAACAAATGGTCTGAATTCACCGGCCCCAGAGTTCGATATTCCTGAACCCGGCTATTCATTTACCCAACCCCTGAAAGGTGACTACGAATCAGAAATATTGGACAAAAAGCCTGAACTGGATTTAAGTACGAAACGTTTGTTTTAATAATTTAGTTACCGAAAGTTATAAATCACGAAGAATGTCTGACGATATGAATGGTGATCGATCAAGAACTCCATCCATGGAAAACTCATACATTAGTCCTTATTTAGCAATGCTCACGGACACAATGTTGCTAATGCTAGATGTTACCGCTTCCAGTATTATAATGTACAACATATGTGTGCAATGAATAATTTATTTTCACGTTAGTAAACCATCATTTTTTTTATGTAATTTGTGTTTATTCTTTTCGATAAATGTATCGAATGTTTTTATACAGAATGTGAAGATAACGAACCGTGATGAATCTGACTTAAAGAGGAAAATCAGTTGAAAACACATGTAATAGCAAAGACGGTCAGTGTATCAACCATAGACTTTACTTCAAATGAAATTATTAGTATCCTTGCATTATCCAGTTATTTGTCAATAGCTTGCCTTGTTTTGGAAATAGTTTTTACTTGGAATACGCACTGTATGGAATCAACTGGGATATATAAACTCCATAGTCCATATATGTCGATGATGATAGTACTGTGTAAGTATATTGTTGCTGCATTTAATACAAATGTAAGTTAGCCTCGATGCAACACAATATAAAACAAGAGGCCCAGGGGCCACATCGCTCACCTGAGCTAGGAAAAACCACAAATCAGATCCGAATTGAAAAGTTTACTGAGGGGGTGGGGGTTGGGAGCTTGAATTCTAATACTAATTGAGAATGCCTCCATATCAATACTGCATATAACTTCTTGAGAAAAGGACTTTAAAAATTTTTAACATTTTGTTTGTATATATTACTTTGTAACAATTTGAATTTGACTCCCCATTGTTTCCCTACCTACCCCAAAAGGTACTCATGAGTTGAACAAATTTAGATCTTCAATACATGAGGATGCCTACATGTTAATATGACTAAACATATCTTTCCTGTTATTGTGATTTTTCGCTTTATGTAAAACTTTGATCCACCATTGAGACCCTTTCCTACCCTTGGGGGTTATGATTTGAACAAATTTAATTCTACACTACCTGAGGATGCTTCCATATAAATATCATTAATCATGGCTTTGCAGTACTTGAGAAGAAATTTTTAAAAGATTTCTCTATATATTTCTATGTAAAACTTTGACCCCCCATTGTGGCCTCATCCTACCCTGGAGGGTCATGAATTGAACAAACTTGAATCTATACCTGAGGATGCTTCAACATGAGTTTCATATTTCCTGTCCCTATGGACCTTTAGAAGAGGATTTTTAAAGATTTTTCCTATATATTTCTATGTAAAATTTTGATCGGCCATTGTGGCCCCACCCTACCCCCGGGGATCATGATTTGAACAAATTTGAATGTCCACTATCTCAGGATGATTCAACATGAGTTTCATTTTTCCTGTCCCAGTGGTTCTTGAGAAGATTTTTAAAGATTTTTCCTATATATTCCTGTATAAAACTTTGATCGGCCATTGTGGCCCCACCCTACCCCCGGGGGTCATGATTTGAAAAAAATTGAATGTACACTACCTGAGGATGATTCAACATGTGTTTCATCTTTCCTGGCCCAGTGGTTTTTGAGATGAAGATTTTTTAAGAATGCCATTAATTTTTCATTAATTCATAATTATCTCCCCTTGGAAGAGGGCTTGGCCCTTCATTTGAACAAACTTGAATCCCCTTTACCCAAGGCTACTTTGTAGCAAGTTTGGTTGAAATTGGTCCAGTGATTCTTGCGATTATCATTAATATGATGAAAATGTGAAAAGTTTACAATAATGAGGACAACAACGACAGACAACGGACAAATTGAGCCTTCGGATCAGGTGAGCTAAAAATTTCGTGTTCGGTAGTTTTGACATTTTCCTCTTTTTAAGCCCCCGGATCGAAAGATCCTGGAAGTATACATTGTTTTTTTTGCCCAGTCAGTCTGTTGTCAACTTTATAAACCTAGCCCATACCCTATAGTGGGTTTTCTTGGCAGTCGTCAAGTTTGGCGTTTTGACTGTTCAAAAGTATGCCTATAATGTTGGCGTAATTTATGTTAGAAGACACAGGGTTTCAACTCTTTGCAGATGAACAATAAAAAGAATACTGAATATTTAAGTGATTAAAATCTAAGCGGGATACAGTACTATCAAAACGCTATAATTCGCAAACCCTGCTGTCAAGGGTTAGTGTATCATACCTCTTCAGTCTACGTGTTACATTAAAAGTTTAGACTTTATCAAGTTAAAGTCTAAACTTTTAATGTAACATACGTACCAGTACATTTATTCTCTTGCAAATTCCCGGGGATCCGGACACCCCCCCCCTTCTAGATCCGTGCATGTTGTGGTCAATATTTTCTTGAGCAGTAAAGAAAAAGACTTGAAATTGGTAGAAATTTACATTGAACCTGATCTGCATCATTGTGACGATTTTTTATCCAGTATAGATAATGGTAATTCAAAGTAACAAGAGGCCCAGGGACAACAGTGCTCACCTGATAACATCGGCTAGGAAAAAGCACATATCAGATCAGAACTGAAAGTTTACTGAATCTACACTACCTGAGGATGATTCCATATAAATATCACTAATCATAGCTTTGAAGTACTTGAAAAGAAGATTTTTAAAGATGTTTCCTATATATTCCTATGTAGAACTTTGGTCGTCCATTTTGGCCCCATCCTAGCCCCGGGGGTCATGATTTGAACAAACTTGAATCTACGCTACCTGAGGATAATTTCACCTGAGTTTCATCTTTCTTGTCTCAATGGTTCTTGAGAAGAAGATTTTTAAAGATTTTTCCTATATATTCCTATGTAAAACTTTGGTATGCCATTTTGGCCCCATCCTAGCCCCGGGGGTCATGATTTGAACAAACTTGAATCTACACTACCTGAGAATGATTCCACAAGAGTTTCATCATTCTTGGCCCAGTGGTTCTTGAGAAGAAGATTTTTAAAGATTTTTCCTATATATCCCTATGTAAAACTTGGGTCGGCCATTTTGGCCCCACCCTTGTCACGGGGGTCATGATTTGAATAAACTTGAATCTACACTACCTGAGATGATTGATTCCACATGGATTTTTAAAGATTTTTCCTATATATCTATGTCTTTTTTGGCCCAGATTTGGTTACCTGAGAATGATTCCACATGGGTTTCATCTTTCTTGGCCCAGTGGTTCTTGAGAAGATTTTTAAAGATTTTTCCTATATATTCCTATGTTAAACTTTGATCGGCCATTTTGGCCCCACCCTAGCCCCGGGGGTCAAGATTTAAACAAATTTGAATCTACACTACCTGAGGATGATTCCACATGAGTTTCATTTTTCCTGGCCCAGTGGTCCTTGAGAAGAAGATTTTTTAAAAATGCCATTTATTTTTCTCTAATTCATAATTTTCTCCGCTTGGAAAAGGGTGTGGCCCTTCATTTGAACAAACTTGAATCCTCTTTACCCAAGGATACTTTGTAGCTTTGGTTGAAATTGGCCCAGTGGTTCTTGAGAAGAAGATGAAAATGTGAAAAGTTAACGACAACATCGACAACGATGACGACAGACAACGGACAAAGTTTGATCAGAAAAGCTCACTTGAGCCTTTGGCTCAGGTGAGCTAAAAAGCATAGAATATATAAAACACATCCATTAATTATTATTTTCTTTAATGTGGTTTCAATAATCAAAATGATGAACAAGTACAAGTAACCTTAACATCCAACATGAAAGCATGACTAAATCCAACGCTGGCAGGATGAACTTACACAGGTAAGTATAACAAACATTGCAAGTCTCATTTTCAGCATGTTAAAAATTTTCATGTGAAAACATACATGTTTCAGCTTTTAACACAGCTATCAAACTACATTTAAATTTCTTTGGATATACACTGTACAGCTGTATCTCCTTAATGCAAAGTAAGCTGCAGTTTTTTTTGTGTCACTGTGTGCTAAATCTGTTTAACTTTACTCTTTGGGTCGCAAAAAAAATGTTTCTTGTATAATCCCATAGTAGTATTTATTCTGATGAAATTTAAGTCATAATGATATAGTTTCGATTTAGCTACATGCAAAATTATCAAAAGGGCACATTATTTTAACAAAAAATAAAATTTTCTCACATTATGGCATTAACCAAAATGATATGAAATAGAATCTCAAGGAAGACTGGATATAAACATATATTTTCGAACACCTATATTTTTCTCGTATGTTGTCAACCACTTATGATACAGTGAAAAAAAATATATTATGCAAAAAAGAAATAATTGAGAACACCTTTCATTCAAAAGGCATCTGTCCTTAATACTATAATCCCTGAAAACAATCATGCATGTATTCATAAATTGAATTTGTTGCCTTGTCATTCTAAGCAAATAATTTATTACCACTATAATATCTTGGACATTTATAAAAATCATACAGAGCAACAAAAAATTGTCATACAGTATATTATTACAGAAGGCCTTTATAGTTACACAAATTTGATTGTCTATCAGTACTTTAATGTGAGCATAGATGAGAAACATACTAAGAAACACAGGACCTATATACTCCTCAAAACATTACCCTACAACCTTGATAAATGGACACATTTCTAGATTATATTTAATAAAAAAAACATGACAAAATATTGCAGTACACAATTTTTTTTTTTCTTATTTGGCGTCATACCTGAGACATTAATTATTGAGAACATCCGATTATACTCGGATTGTATCTATATATTTTTTTCAAATATAAATTAATTTTTAATGTTTACATTATCATCACATACAGATTTTTTCCCCTTGGTAAATTTTTTTTTAAAACAAAGAAAATAGGTGAATTTAATGAAGGAAATGCCTATAACTTTAAAGTATTATATAAAAAAAATAATAAATTTAGTATGTGAATTTAATTTTAATGATTACATTTATGTACATTTATTATTTAAGTTTAGAAAGTGAACAGTGTAAGTGCTGAGTGGGTGAAAATTGTTTGGCATGTTTGTATTTATTGTTATGGAAAAAAAAGCTTCAACTTGAAGCATTAAAAAAAATCAGTACGTGATATAAGCATTTAGAGTGAATATATATTTTTTTATGTTTCAGGATTTCAGACATTTTTTTAATCAACCCAATTTGCTTGTGAACACAAGAAACCAAATACAGAGGCATGGCTGTATAAATTAATGTTAAAAAAATAAGAGGAAATTTTTTTTTTACAAGTGGAGTATACTTTTTTTTTTACAATAGGAATTTTTCTCAGCTTATTTGCCCATCTTCTTAAATCTATTGCTATTATTTTTTTTTATCTCATGACAATTTGGGTATAAGAAATGTAATATGATGACAAATATAAACAGACTTTAAACATTTACTATGGTAATATTTAAACAGTTTAATTTGACTAGAATATACATGTACTGAAATACTCTCTTTCATTTATGGAAAGAAAATGGCACATTTTACAAATAGATACCTATATGTACATGGTTATTGTACGAAAAAAAAAAAAGAGAGAGAAAACCCAGCAACTATTGATGGATGAGAATCAAAAAACAAAAAAAGTGTTGATAAATTTATGGTGAAATAAAAATAATTTATGGGGAAAAAAATATGTTATAACTATGTTTGCCTGCAAACATTTTGTAGTACATGTACCTTGAAAAGAGGTAAAATTTCCACCTTCATATGCTTAAAGTTAACATAGGATCATTTTTGTGTATACTTATGGCACTTGTTACAAAAATACTGCACATACTCCTTCAATTACAATGTCTTCTAAAATAACTTGCAACAAACAATAGAAAAACAATTTAAGTACACATAATGTAGTTAAATCTCAGTTTCCATCTCCATTTATTCTTTCTTGTCCTTGCGTCGCAGTGTCGTAACTGACGGTACCTTGACATGGCTAACCACTGATGACCCGACATCGTAAGTTTTCCCTGCCACCCATTTCACACTACCTACCCCGTACCCTACTGCCCCCGAGGCCGTGTTATATAGACCAGAGGACATCTTCCACAATAAGCCACCATTTGATCCCTGATCTGAAAATTCAACCAAAGAAACATTAAAGTATATGGAATTTTTAAATATTTACTTTTATTTTATATAATGACTTTTTATTTTATAACCTTTTGCTTCTTAAACTGAAATTTTCAATAATAATGATTGAAAAAAACATGATGTGGATATTTAATTGTCTTTGTTGTTGGAGGGTTCTTGGAGCATGTAAGGATTAAAGTGGGTGGTCATAAAATATAGGTGGATACCTAATGGTATACAGGGACAGTAACAATGTAAATGCATTTATAACAAGGTCTATTCTATCAAAATTGTGGAATAAATAGCCCCAGGGCCAACAGTTAAGGCCCCTAATCAAGTAGGAACAAGTAAAATTTGAATTAAAATTCCTGAGACCTGAATTAGTTCCAGACAAGTTTTAATTAAGTCATTTCAATCCATAGGCATCGGAAGCAAATTGAAAGTAGGGGGTGGGGGTTAATTGAAAGTGTGTGGGAGTGGGGGGGGGGGCTAAACCAACAAAAATAAGGTAAACTCCAATTTTCAATGCCTATATTATGTATATTTTTACAAAAAAAGAAAAAAAAAACCTCTCTCTCTCTCCCCCCCCCCCCCCCCCCACACACACACACACACACCCTACCCCGTTCCAACGCCTATGCAATCAGAGAATTTTTTTACACTTGATTTGAAGGTCCTTAGAAAGAGGCACTACACCAACTTATGAATTTTTCACACAATTATTGATAAGTCTTCATTGTTCCTACGAAAATTTTTATGAGATATAAATAAATTTTCATAAGATCTCAATTTTTTCCCCATTGACAGAGCCAGACACGATGTTCCATCAATTAAACAAAATCAATTTAATTCTTTTGACCCAAGAATATTCATGCAAAGTTTGGTTGAAATTTGCCCGGTAGTTCTGGAAAAGGTGACAATGTGGAGTTTATATTGACCACAACAATAACTATGGCCAATTTTTGATCAAGAATACTCACTTGAGCCCAGAACATAATAAAAATGATTCTGCATGTTACTAACCAGGGACTTCATCTGTCTTTTTATCACACTGGGTTTGTACAGTTCCACTTTCTCTGATGTCCTCAGTGTTCATCGTTTCTCCCCTGGAGTCTGGATCCTCTTCTGTTAGATCACCTGGCTGTGCGGCAGGACTCTATAGAATTGTACATGCATTAATTAACTCACACTGCTTTCAATACAGGTGATTTTTCTCCATCTTACAGAAATGTTGTGCAATGAAGGTCACTCCATGTTTCTCTTTGTTTGGCAATCATTTAATTTAAAACATTTTGCTGCTGATAACATTGATTGCTAAATTGGAGCAGCATGGGGGAAATCATTATGATAACCAATAGACCATTATGACATAATGGAAGCATTGGACATTCAATCCATTTGCATACAGAGTAAAAATAATAAAATTCATCAAAAGTAACTTCAAGTCAGAAATATATTTTATCATTGGTATAACTGAGCGAATTTTTACTAATCCTACAAATTAACCTTAAAAAAAATTGAGAAGTTTATATAGAGACAGACAGATGACAGACAAAATCAGGTGAACTCAGCTGAGCGAAAAAGAGGCCATGGGCAAGAACACTCACCTGAGTCATTTTTGTAATGGTATTATGCATCAGCCCCCCCCCCCCCCCACATGTATTCATATGACATGAATGTAAAATAAATTATAATGACCCTAAGTTTTAGTATTCCTAGCCCAGTATTTCTTATGATGAATTTTTAATAATCCTACAAATTTTGCCTTTTCCTTAATTATCTCCCCTTAGCAAGGTGCTTGATCCTTCATTTTAACAATTAAAACTATATCCTATCCCCAAGAATGATTTATACCAAATTTGGTATGTTAGAATTGGTCCAGCATTTCAAAAAATTGAAAAGTTTACAGGCAGACAGCCAGATAAATGGATGGACGTCAGGTGATCAGAAAAGCATATGTGAACTAAAAAGAACTGAGGTAGTATGATTTAGTCAGTTTAAAACTAAGTGTGCACTTTCACGGTTTTTTAATTAAAAGATTATATCAAGGAAATTCATCTATTAAGCTGTGTTCCTGCCAAGTTATACACTCTTACCTTGAATACACATTGTTGAATGGTTTGGATTAATGCAGACATCTTTATGCATCAGACACTCTCTGTCAAACTGAGTAGTTAAAGCGCCAAAACGTCAACAAGTGATGCTGAGTCAAGTGCGTCTCTCTAAAAGTGTCGGATTAAAATGGTTAACAGTTTAAAAAATGTAATTTATCACTGACATTGTTTAGAGTAATAATGAAATACCATGAAAGTAAAATATCGAGTTAACCTACCTTAGACTCTTGTCAGGTTATGATTTGTAACAAACTCTTTTTCACGAGAAAGAACTTTTTGCATCCATTAGTCTGACCTGCCACGTTGTTTACTCAGCTGAAAAGTAGGCCAGTGTTATGAAAGAAAGGTTTTCATTGGATGATTCACTATCCGATTTCAAGATGCAGTTTGCACCGCAGAGATTATGTCACAATGTGTCTTATCTCGCGAGGGGAGGGGGGGGGGGGGGGGTTAGGTTTACAGGTTCTCTCAGATGGGTCTATCCAATTTTGTATAGATCTACGCTGTTATTATTTTTTTTTAATTAGTTTTTTTTTATTTTACACTGAATGTTGAAAACATTCCATTAATTTATTTTATTTAGGGGGCCTATACGTACTTTATTCAATATAAAATTTGCAAAAATCTATGTATAAATTATCATAATAGTAATTTGAAAAAAATGTGTTATTTTGGCATTGTCAAGATCATTTTTACATAAATTTAAGGTTTTCTATTTTTCTCGTAATTTATTAAAATCAAGTTACATTATTTCTGATCTTCAAACAGATTTTTTTAACTGAAAGCAGGTTCAGATTCTAAATGTATTTTTTATAAATGAATAAAAAATCATAGTCTCACTTTAAAATTTTTTAATCATTTACATGTAGGGTAGAATATGATAAAAGCCTTCAATCGCACCATATTTTGAAGAAAGAACTTGGGGGGGGGGGACAAAGGGGGCCTACGGCTAGTCTTTTTTGTTTGTTTGTTTGTTTTTTTTTGTCAGTCGAAGGTTATCAGTGATGCCTATAGGATATTTTTATTTCTACCCCCCCTCCAAAAAAAATGGATCTGAGAAGGAGAAACCTACCCATCACAGACCTCAAGAACCCAAATTCCATGCAAAAACCGCATTTTTTTTTTCATTTAAATATTACGAATTTGGAAAGAAAATGGCAATTAATTTCTATTAACTTTTTTAATCATGTAGGGTAGAAATGATAATCGCTAAATGGCGTCGAAAGGGTTAAGGCTTTTAAGTTGGTAATTTGCGTTCCTTGCAATCGCACCATTATTTTAAAAGAAAAAAGGAAACAAAATATAGGTTCATTTTTATCGGTCAAAGGTTATCAATGATACCTATACACAGTGTATTGGATTCTTTTATTTCAAATTTAAAGTAAAAAAAATACTGTGTTGAACATTGTTGTTTTTTATGTATATAAAATATACTTTTTACAGACTCTCCTTTAAAAATAATATTAATGGCTATTGTTTTGAGTGTTTTTTTTTAAAGATCTTTTGATTCTAATAAGATAATTTATTATATAAGAGTATCGCTGCCTACAGAAATACGACATTTAACCTAACATTTTCAGCGTGCCTCCACTTTAAAGTCTGGTTTCATTTTAAGAAACAAATAATGATGATAATGTAAATAAAATGAACACTTAGGGCCTCAATATATTTACTGTTGATGCAACATAATGCTTACTTACTCCAGCACATTCGCAGAATAATTTAATAATTTAGATGCGTTATTTTAAAATCTCCTGCAATAAAAACTACACGTCTCGATTCAAAAGTATACGACTAATTCATTATAGGCCGTTGTGAAGTGTCTATCAATTTTTCATTCCCATTCTAAAGAAAAAATTACAGAAATTATTCAACGATTGAACTGCGCATGGATTGCATAAAGATCTCGGACAGTCTTTTTAAATCAGTTCGGAAAAAATGAATAAAATTATATAATAAATGATACCAGCAGGTACGTAGCAACAGGGGGGCAGCACCCCCCCTCCCACCACCACTTTTTCCCCCAAATTTACTTACTGCAGGGACGTAGCAACCGGGGGGGGGGGGCCAGGGGGGGCCCCCCCCCCACTTTTTATCCCAACATTACCTTTTACTATAGTAAATGTTCATTGAAAGGATGGTTGGCCCCCCACTTTATACCATAGTATAGTGATATCAAGGATTGTAGGGAAAAAATTAGAAGTAATAGTAAGTTGGCTTCGAAAAAGTTGGCCACTACCACTACTTTAATGCCCAAATTGTTGAAGTAATGGTAATGCATTACTTTCAACGTAATTCGCCCCAAGCCTGACTGCAGTATATTGTATGAAATGTTCATGGAAATTGGACTTTTTGTGTTATAAGAAAAATGTAGAATTGTTCGTCAATAAAATTGGTACTGAAAGAAGTTGGCATGGAAGAAAGTGCATAAATTGGATTTCTGATTATTTCAAAACACCTCTTTCCTCATTTTCACATAAAATCATTATATGTTTTATATAGATGGAGCGAATTGAATTTTAAATTATACAGAATAAGAACATCTTCTTTAAAGAAGTCAAGCACTTTTAGGTAAAAAAAAAATCCTCACAATTAAAAGGTTAAAATAGGGAGAGAAAAGAATGAAATTAACTGCGGCTTTATTTCATCTGTTCGAATGAGTTTCTTCTATTATACTACACGGGTCAAAGGTAAAAATTTTAGGTCAATAGGTTATTTCCTGCGTAAACAAAGACAGCTGTAGTTGTAGTTTCATTTCAGCTATGGATACACGTATTTCATGCGTATTCATGCTGTTTAGCTATGGATTTTGTTCTCGTCTACAATTAACGAATGAATATGACTTCAAGACTGTATTTCGTGGTGTTCGAGATAGAAATGGATACATTAAAGCTCGCAATGATGTGATATTGGCTGAATCCAACATGAGAATTGGACATGATATTGTGTTAAACAATGCAGAACAGAAAGTTAATGACATACTGATGAAATACAAAGAATTGGAAATTAATAAATCAAGAGCTGTGAACGGAGCACCCTTTCCCCCGAGCATTAATTTTCTGGTCAGTAAACCATTGGTGGAGAAAAGCCAAGTGTTTCAGATCATAAAGTTAATGCCCAAAGGTATGTTAATTTTTTTTTTCTGCAGCATTATAGAGATTTGATAAAGCAGTGTCAATGATATAATATTACCACAATATTTCACACTATCAACAGAAAATATTCGTGTCACCAGACATTATGAGTTAAGAAATCGACCGATGCCATCCAAAAATCGATGAATTAAATCGGTATATTAATTAATTCAATGTAGAAATCAATGCTAATCAAACTTTAAGTATGCAAAATACTGGTTACATGCATGAGAAAATTTCACGAAGAGACACAATTTAATTGCTTTTTTTTTTTTTTTTTTTTTTTTTAATTTACCTTATATCTATCATTTTTATTTAATTGTGTTTTCTTTTATCATTCTATGGTTTCTATGCTTTTGATCCAGTGTGGTGATGCACTTCTCAATGTCAAACTTAATCACAAGTCATGTTACATTATCCTTAATATAGAATTGTAATCAATGTTATCATTTTGTAATAATTGTTCATGCCCCCTGTGGGCCCTTGATTGGTGAATAAACATATTCATGGTAGAAATCCTACATTGCCTTGTTTAAAGGAAGTAGAAGTACATATAATATTTCCTGTATTTTTTTGTTTCCCTATAGCAGGGTGTTATGGCCAATGATTATGGTTATGATAATTAGTAATCATGATGATGATGTATTCCTTATGAGTTAAGGGACAATTTTGCTTCCTATCCAACAGTAAAATTTGATGAATAAATATTTTAACTGTTCAATTTATTTTATTTTTTATAAGTTTATGGTCATGTGACCCGATATGTTCTAACTTCCTCTCTTCGTAAACCTGAACAACTGAAATATATAAATACATTTCAATTCACATGATTCAACCACTTTCTACTGTTTTTCTTTCTCATACAAATTGTGCATCCATTTGATTTCTTCTGTATAATTAAAACGTCATTCATTTGTGCAAATTAACATGATTTCATATTCAATATGTATGTCAATTTCAAACATTGTTTTAACCAGTTTAAAATCGTGTTTTGTAACTATCCAATAAGGGTCTCTCATCTTTCTTTCAATAATAAGAAAACGGATTTGTATAAGTTTTTGAAACTTGTTTCCGAATCCTTTTTGATCTTTGTACTTCTTGCCTGTATTTCTTGCTTGTCATGTTCAAATAAAAATATGGTTTAAACTAAATATATAACAACTATTAACAATTCAGCCAAACTGTCAAGCATTTATTTTCTCAATATTCTAGCTTAAAAAAAAATAAAGTGATCGAGAGGCTTTTTTGGCAACTCACTCTGTCCTAAATTAGTGCTATAAGTGCTCAATATTACTCGTAGTTTTAATGATTCATGATCACATATGATCCTTTACTTGAAATTTAAAAAAAAACTTTCTTTTTTTCTATGTGTTACATGTAAAATTCAAGGACACTCTGATTAAATTATGCCTCTCAATAATGCGTCTTTAGAGTGTATTTATTTCTGTCTTGAATATTGTACACCACCTTTTATCGTACTGAATTTTGTACATGGTCAATATTCTAGATCTGCGATTTGGCTGGAATATAATGTAATGACCCGTATTTTTATCGTAGGTTCAATGACATAACGCTCCTACGTGTGAGTAACAATATGAGAACCATAGCATGTGTTTGATATAAAATGTCAATGTGCTGAATTCTAAATATCAAAGGTCATTATGAAACAGAGTAAATCTAATTAGCGAACTAATTTGGTTAAAAAGTCAACGAGTTTCAAATTCCCTTTCATTTAAACTTTGTCCCAAGTGCTTCCGAAGATTCTGACAAAATACCGTGAATCATTATCATTTTACTACATGTATGATACTTTAATAGGAAGTTAATTACATTGTTTAATTTCACTGAAATGTACTTTACCCCGTCCCAGTTTATTTAAGTGTAGGTCATTGCTCCTATACTTCTGCCTCCAAGTTTTCTGTTAAAGTCCGTACATTTACCTCATAACATAGGAGCTACTTGACTATTCATTTAGAAGAGCTTAACATGTTTTATAATTTTGAAAGAAAAAAATTCTCTGAAATCCTTTTTTGTGTATGGATTATATACAGGTATAGAGATATATTCTACTTGCATCAGCAAAATGCAAAGCTTTCGAAAGTTTTGCGCTTTAAAGACAAAGTATTAATATTCAGGTTTGCTTATCACAAGCAGGATAAGCTTATATATTTTAATAGCATTTCACACAAAAATTAATTAAAAATCTTATTTCGTTTAAAAGATATTGAAATTTCAAAATTTTCGGCGGGTTTGATTGACATATCGTTGCACTCTCACCACTTAGGAAAAGCAATGTTTTGTAAATGAAAAATATTATATAAAGCCAGAAAATTATATGAAAGCAAAACAAACACACAATATAATATAAATATTTCTAAATATAAACTTTGTTTACAAAAACTGTGTACATAACACGAAACGGAATATACTTGTGAAGGTGTTTTGCTTTCTAACATTTCTACTCTGAATAAAATTATTCTTCTTGATAAAAGTTTTAATATTTTTTTTTGCCACTTTTTAAGGATTATAAAGTTAAAATTTGTGAAAGTCAATCAAACCCGCCAAAAAATTTAAAGTTTTAATGACTTTTAAACGAAATAAGATTTTTAATTAATTTTTGTGTGAAATGCCATATACAGAAAAAATGAGAAAATATATCAAGTTAGTACCTTTAAATAAATTATATAAAGGTATATGGCCCAATATAAATAGTCCATCTTTGAAACACATAAACTATCGTATATGATAAATATTTCATTATTTTTTTGTTTTAAAATACATGTTCTGGCGAATTTTCTAATCCATATACATGTATATCAAGTTAACTCGACCTTGAAAACCACATGAGTTAAACATGTTTCTAATATCAACGATAACTTTTTGTCTATTAATTCAGCAAGGGAAAATTGTAAATAAATGTATACGCCATGACGTTCACCCATTTTTAAGGGAAACGATTCTTAACAACAATGGTATTGGTACGTAAAACAACACTAATCCCCCTGTGTGGCAGTCCATGACGAAGATTTGTTTCTGAGAGTAAAAATTGTTGGAATCCAAAGAAGGCCTTGTTAAAAAACTCATGTGTGATATGAAAGCCCTAGTTCTAAATGTTCAAAAGTTATGACCAGTGTCTAAGTTTTTAAAAAAAATTGTCAAACTCCAAGGTCAAAGGGACAAAATCAACGATACCCAGATTAAAGACTTGTCAATACAAATATTCACTCGAAATATAAAAGCCTTAGGACCAACTGATAAAAAGTTATGACAAAGATTAATGTTTATAAAGATAGGTCATATCCCAAGGTCAAGGTCAAAATTGTTGGTATCCAAAACGTTCTTCTCGCCAGAAAGGCAGAAACACGCTTGAAATATGGAAATCCTAGTCCTAACTGTTCAAAAGGCAAGACCAAGGTTAAAATTTTCTAAATGTGGGTCAAACTCTAAGGTCAAAGGAAGATAAATTTTTATACACATGGAAAAGTCGAGACATAATGAATAAACATGTTAAAACTGTTGTAATTGTACAAAAGTTTTTCCTGGATTATAAATTGATAATTTTTGGCAAATGTGATTCAAATCCTAAGGTCAAGATCAAGAGGTCAGATGTATTCATACCCGAAGACAAGTCTTGTCACAAGAAATACACATGTGAACTAGTGCTAATTGTAACGGGGACCGTTACAAATGTTCCCCAAACGCTCCCCAACTCCCTTTTGGTGCCTGTTTTGGTTCCCTATAAGCTTCATTAAATAAGACAAACTCTATGAATTTGAGACTTTAACAACGTTTACTAAGAAGTGTACCAAGTTCATTCAAATTTTAGCATTGCACGCGTACGCATGTGAATGCATGTGCATAATGACCATATTATGTATTCTACACAATCTATATATTTTAATAAACTAAATGTTAAAGTACTTAATCCAAAAGTTTTTTTTTAAAAAATACGCTTATTCAAGTGTACTTTTGATTTTACTCATTTTACGTGCACGCACGTGCATACATGAGCGTGGTGACAAAACCTTCTTGTAGAAGTCCATCACATCTATCTATGTTCTAAATCCCACCCCGTTTGGTTCAAAACCAAGGGAGTTATAGCAGTTTAAAGTTTCAGCCAATCAGATTGCAGCTCACGTACACGCACATGTATGCATGTGCATGGTGACCATACCTTCTTGTAGAAGTCCATTATATCTATCTATGTTCCAAATCCCATAAAGCTATAAAGTTTTAGCCAATCAGATTGCAGCACACGTGCATGCACGTGTTTTCGTGATAATTGCTATATGTCATGTTGTAGACAATCCTAATGCATGGCTATGTTCAAAATTTCAAAGGATTTAGTCAAAATACAAGAAAGATATTGAATCTTTAGTTTCAGCCAATCAGAGAGAAGCGCACGTGCATGCGCGTGAGATCTTGCTATTTTGACCATGTCATATTGTCTGTACCACTAATATACTGAAAGGAAAAAGAAACGCATATTTTACTTTTAAATTAAATTAAAACTATTATTTCGAAAATGTTTTCCAGTATTGTTATCAAACATTTTAATTCATCTTTAATCTACAAGTTACCAAAATCTTGTGTGACTTTGACTGATAATTCCTGAGTTATTGAAATTGATATGTCGATACCCCCCAAAATTAAAATGAAAATTCTCATAATCTCCCTTGTACATTGGTAACAGCCTTGATTTTCCTGTGCATTGAGTTCACCAGAGCATTTATCTTTCTCATTTGATTATTATTCAACTCTTCCGACAATAGTCTTAATGCTTGATAGAAGCTGTATTATTCCAAAGCCAACAAATCCCCCCGCCAAATGAGTGCCACGAATTTTCATTTTAGGATAGAATTTACAGAATCCAGCTGGTTTGGTACACGTGAATGTTTGTGAGAAAGAAGACAAAAACTGGCTACATTTTTAGTGTGAACATGCTAAAAACATTACGCACAAGTGTACGTGCGCGCGTGAGAGTAAAATCGACGTAAAAGTTGCCAAGCTCGCGGACCAAATTAGTGCAGAGAATTTCTGTCAATTTTAGGGTGAAAATATTGGTATGATAGTTTGCTGTAGAAATATCGGTTTCAGTGATAATACCTTGACAACAACCGAGGTGACATGATGAAAAATGTGACGTTGTTACGCGTCAACGTCACCGCCATGGTTGGTTGGAAACCTTTTAATTTACTCTCTGACAACTGAAAAACCCTTTCTTGTTGAAAAGTTTAAAACAAACTGCACAGCAACATCTTGTTACCTTTTCATTCACTTACGCAATTCAATTACTGGAACCATTGTAACTTCCATCAGCCATACCATGATTGCACGAAATTTATACTGATTTCAAATGCGGAAAACGATGTCTATAACTCCGATGCATCGTTTATGACCACAAAATGTGATCATAAAATTGTCATCATCAACATGCACGTGTTTTTGGTTTTTTATCATTTCCCCTACGTGACGCCATACATTTCATGGTTGAGATATTATTGACCAGCAATTTTAGTGCACAGTAATCAAAATACACATTTGACCAATTTTCATAATTTTCGGCCTTATAGTCAAATATATTTCGCTATTATGCTATTATGCGTTTCTTTTTCCTTTCAGTATATATTCTTATACTATGAATTTCAAAGCAATTCATCAAAAATGTAAAAAGTTACGCCTATTTCAATTAAATCGGTCACTTCGCATGTTGCACGTGCACGCTCTTGCAAGCACGTGCGCGCAAAATGACCTCTGTTCCGCAAATCTACATAACATGTCTACTGACCCTAAAAACATTTCACCTTAGTCGGATGTGTAGTTTACGAGATCATTCGCGGACAAAAAAGTGCCCAGGAAGAAGAAAAATAATAATAATAAGAAACAGAGTAAAAACAATATGTTCCCCAACTTCGTTTGGGGAACATAATTATTAAAAGCCATAGCTCCAACCACTCAAATGTTATGGTCAAGGTTTAAGTTTTCGCGTACAAAGAAAAACATGACAGATGGACAGACAGGACAAAAATTGTATACCCCGAAAAAAGGAGATGGAATTTTGAACATTTTCTATCAGAATCAAACAGTCAGACAATTCGTTTTTGGTTTCAGGAGCGGCACTTCATCTTCATGACTGTTCTATGGTGGACTTGAACTGGCTGGTCAAGAATGCCACCTATCGGGAAAATTGTTACATGTGTGTTGATGTCAATCACACTGTTTTCTTCAAGTTTTTTGGTGGTACACCACCAAGTAATCCAGGTCTGTAGTGATCAAACTTACCGACTAAAAGAATTAAAGCTACAGTCATCAGCTACTTCTAAAACACATGTAAAAGTAGAATTCATTGTTAAAATCTTTGTCTTGTTCAATATTTGCAGGTTGTCCTTGGAAATCTGTTAAAAGCGAGCGAGCAAAGGCAAACAGTGTGGACGACTTTGATCGAATGTAAGTACTCAATTTGTTTTTAAATTATTTATCTAATATCTTGATCCCATATCTTCACATAACTCAGCACATCTCAGTATATTACTGAATCTCGGAAACAGCCGTCGCTTATGAACGGTGTGCAATTCCTGTACGAAAATTTACGTCCCGTCGAAAAGGCAACAAATAAGGATAGGTTTCGTGACTTTCGTCCAATCGGTTTTAAATCAGATCTTCGTCAGCTCCGAAATTCTGCTGGTCGCTGAAATCTCAGATCTTATTTAAATCAGATAGGTTTCCGTCCTGTTCCCTTTTGCGTATCTCAAATTTCCATTTCCTTATTACACTTTAGTGCGTGTACCTCTTGCTTTATTATAAGACATGTGGTTGATTTTTTTAGATCAATAAAATCCTAAATGAATGAATACTATTCGAAATTTTATGATACTCAAAGTTCTTTGCTAATTGTATGGAGTATAAATGAATAAAACACTAATTATGCTGTATTACATACATGTACATGTTTTCTACTTGATTTCTAGGCTCTATATGAACATGTCGTTAATTACACCTGATCCCAGGAAAGCTTATCCGACCATCGATATTGTATGGGTCCGATTCCTGCAGGCTCTGGACCAGGCTAATGGACTCATCAACTACGCGCCGGTGTTTGCCGACTATTTCTACGAAGCCCTGAATGAATTTAATTTAGACAATGTTCAGTACCTTGAATTCAGAGGACTTTTCCCGCAGGTTAATAACCTAATTCATTGAATATTAAATGTATTTCTGTTTGATTTTATATTTCTGTATCATACGTTCTTGCTACATTCTGTGTACGTTCAATTCAATATAATTCTGCTTTCACGTTAAATATGCAAGGATTTTTTTATATGCACGTGTATAATATACCGAAGAAGCACGGGTATATGCTTTTAAGACTGTTTGAACTATTACAGCTTATATTGTAAAGGTTGAAAGATTAAATATACTACGTAGGTATATGAGCTGGATGGTTCGACCAGAGACAGGGACTGGGTGGTAAAGACTTACCGTGACCTGTTCGTAAAATTCACAGCTGAACATGAACACGAGTTTAGTGGAGGAAAGGTTATCTATTCCGGATTAAGGTATAATATAAGTTAAATTTACTTTATTTTACAAGTATTTGAAATTAAAAATGTATTATAAGGTTGAAAAGTACATACATGTATATCTGTTAAAAATGTAACTGCAGAAAATTTTGAGTCTGCGTGGTCATACACACACATTGGAAAATTATGTTGGAAATGTAATCCTCTGAAAAAGAAATACATATTTAGAACAAATGTAGCATACTTTTTTTCTTTTTTATCCATATAAAGTGTGTAAAAATTTGCAAAAATTGATATATTGTTGATGTAAGTTTGAGTGAAGTGCGAAAGTGGGTGGGTGTGAAAAATTTTCTGTGCAATTTTGATAAATGTATTTGATTATACTGAAAGCACAGAAATAATGCATTAAAAAAATATTTGAAATTAGAAACCTCTTTTAGACCCTTTTAAATTTATGGAACTCACTCATGTCACTGGATCTATTCATATTCTGTCCTAATATATTAACATGTACATTTGAACCCCGGTATCTCGAACTGCGGTATTTTAAATACCATGGGTATGTCGAAGTGATTTTGATTTCCTATCCCCTTCTTTTGTCCTGGATACCTCGAATCCTTGAAGTTTTTTCTGTACGTCTTGAGTTTGAAATAACGAGGGTTGCCCGAATTATATTATAAACAGACGCAATTCATTTCTACAGTGCATTGTCCGATGTTAATTTTCATTACTTGCGTGAATATTGAATTGCGAGGAGTTTGCTTTCGAAGAAATTCATACAAACCAGAAACATGCATATCGGTTTTAGTTTCAGACTACCACGTAGTTAACGGCAATGTCCTGAATTTATTGCAGGACAGTACCAGAGATCAACATTTCAAATCAGGTTAAAGAGGCCATACGCTATCGGCAGCTGTACCCGGATCACTTTGCCGGCTATGATTTGGTTGGACAGGAGGACCCCGGTGTTCCACTCTTTAAATATTTAGACGCCCTTCTCTACCCCTCAGAACAAAATCCACCAGTTGATCTTCCATACTTCTTCCATGCAGGAGAAACAGGTATATATATACTTCTGGTAACTTCAGCGTTTGAAAAAAATAGGCTATCCAATCATTCTCTAAAGAGGAGGACAGGTTTATTCTACCTGTGAGTTTAATCTATTAGATGTCTCTAAGTACAATGAAGCGCATTGAAGTGGTAAAATTTTCTGTTTGGATGACACGTTCTGAAACATGTTTTGAACGTCAATTATAGCATAATGACACGCCCATTTCTTTAGAAACGAATAAGAAATATTCGTCGAAATGTTTAGGACACCCCACTCTTCGTGACAAACAACATAAGTTACACCGAAATGGAGATTTTTAAAGTTATAAGAGAGAGAAAGTTAGATAGTTCCTGCTTCTGTAAAGCATGTATTTCAAAGAATTTGTCAATAATTATTAATTTATCATGTTTATTGGAGTAACCATAACACATGCATCGGTCGAACACGTGCTTACTCGGTGTTTATGTAGACCGTCAATTTGATTGGTTATTATATTTATGGAATACCTGTTCTACAGGTATTCGAATGAACCATTTGACCAATTTTTCCTTTCTAAAGAAATGGGCGTGTCATTGTATGACAATCATCGTTCTAAAGATAGCTCAAGACGTTCCAGTCAAACGGAAAATTTTACCACTTCAATGCGCTTCATTGTAAGAAGAGTGACTCTTCACACATGTCAATTTTAATATATTATTATCCCAGTTTTCAATATATTTTTTTTGGCACAACCACATGTACACAGGGAAAAGTGACTCGCATGAACTTCATATGAAATGCACAAATATCATGCGAATTCTTCGCATAGGAAGGAGACAAAAATCAAATCGCATTATATTAGCATGAATTTCATGCAAAAAGGCAAACGCATGAAAATCATGCGAGCCACTTTTCGAATTTCCCTGTGTATATGAAATAATCTTATTCTGAAAATAATAGAACAAAAAGATCTGCTTAGCACCAAAATTAAATTCCCTTTTAGACTGGGAAGGCACACAGACAGACGATAACCTGATAGACGCCGTGCTGCTCAACACAAGTAGAATCGGACATGGCTATGCCATGGTCAAACATCCACAGGTTATGAAAATGGTGAAAGAACGAAATATCGCTGTAGAAGTTAATCCCATCTCAAACCAGGTACCGGTTAATGTTGTAAAGATACTTCTCTAAAAATCTTAAATTTAAAAATATGAGAAATTATACTTTATTTTGCGAATCTTGCGACAGCAAAAAGGTACACAAGCAGTGTTCAAATACAAATTTATGGAACATTGACCATCTTCACTCTGTACATATCGGAGATGTTTTTTCCAGGTGCTATTACTTGTAAGTGACCTCAGGAATCACCCAGCGGCGGAGCTGGTGGCCCAGGATTTCCCGATCGTCATCAGCGCAGACGACCCGGGAGTCTGGGGCACGCGAGGCTTGTCCTATGATTTTTACATGGCATTCATGGCACTCGCTGGGGAAACTGCAGACTTACGACTCCTTAAAAAGTTGGCAATAAATTCTATACAGTAAGTTTTCTTTAGTAGAAGTGATTATTATAAAATTTACTTTCTGAACGTAATAGGATTTAAAATTTAGCCCCCCCCACTTTTTTGCAAAATATATACATAATATAGGCATTGAAATTTGGGGTTTACCTTTTTTTGTTGGTTTAGCCCCCCCCCCTTTTCACTTTGCTTCTCCGACGCCTATGAGCACGGACAGTTAAATCTGTAATTATGAACAAGGAATTGTATAGATATTTCTCTTTGTGCTGCAGATATAGTGCTATGACGCCAGTTGAGAAAAGTAAAGCTTTGAATTTGTGGCGACAAAAGTGGGATGCCTTCATACAACGAATGTTGCATCAGGCCAACCAATCAGAGAGTTTCCCGCCAAATCTTTTCGGTTAAATTATGTTACGGGTGATGTTTGTATATATAGCCTCTATATTGTGATTTTTTTCAAAGTTTTACAATGTCAAGTGATAGAATATTTTTATAGTATTTGTTGAGAATGAATTTATTGAATAGTCTCCCTGTGAATTTAAAATTATCAGTATTATTGTATGAGTTGTGTTATCTAATCTATTGGGATTTTCCCACAAAATCACAGAGATAGCACGTGTAGTCTAAAACGGCAAATGTTGTAGAATTTTGTATTCATCAGTTTTATATATTTTCAAAATAGAAGTTTTATTTTTCAGATGGTATAATAATGACGTATAAAAAGTATTTAAGAATGTTTTTACAATTCATCAGTTTATTCTTAAAGTTTCCTTATTTTTTTGAAGATAGTCTTGAATTGCATTCCATTTGTAAAAGTATATTTTTTTCAATGTTCATTTTTACAGTGTTGTGATTTTCACAATAAATAATGATTTTTTAAAAAAATTTATGTTGTGCTGGTTCTTTTAATGATAATATATATTTTTATGTATGGTCTTTATTATCATCTTTGTTTCATTGTTATTTGCATGTATAACAATTTTAAGATGTTATTGTGCATTGTTAAGTTAGCCATATTTATTGGATTTTATTACTTTAATATAAATGATGAGGTTTCTTTTCCTTTTCTAACGCTATCATGTGTTTACCATTTCACTTTGAAGCGTTTTTAATATAACTGGATTTTTAATCCTCTTTAATAGCATTTCAAGTACAGAATGCACTTTTAAGAAAATGACTTGTTTATGTTACATATTCTGTCAAGGATCTTGTCTTCCCTGTATCCCTAGTCATCATAGCTTTACATATGAATTTATATTTCACTGTTGTAAGACTGTGCATTCTCAGTGTTCAAGATTTTAATCTTAATCATTTCTCATTTTTTCTCATTGATATATTTTTTATGATGATAATTAACTTTCTTTTAATGATAATGAACATGTGGTTCTCTGTGAAATTAAAGAATTAATATAGTCCTAAGCATATTTTACTAGTTTTGACGAGTCTATCCAAAAATTGCCAGAGATGTAGATCATCAGATGTATTTTTTTTTATTAATATGAAAAAATGAAAATGTTTTTGACTAATTGTGAAGAGTCATATATATGTTCATGTAATGAAATTGCATAAAAGCATACATGCGAACATACTGTAGAAGCACAAATTTTCGTGTGGATAAAATTTCGTTGCTTTGTCATTAAAAATAATTTCGTGGGCATTTAATTTCGTTGCTTTGAAAGTAACACTATTCAATATATAGTCCGTGTGGGATTTAATGCAAACACATTTGTTTGTTTTCATTGACTTGCTATGCCTATGATACATAGATGTATCTTCTAAAGTTTGGAATTTACCTTACTTACTGAAATACTTGCAGACCATGTTACCTTTGATGTAAAGGGCAGTAACGAGGGTTTTCCATCCTTGTCTGCCACTGGCTATCTCTTGGAGTGTGCCCCAGCTTCTTTTAATTTCTTTCAGTTCGGCTTTCACTGTCCCCTGCCAAGTGATTTTGGGCCTTCTTGTCTTTCGTTTTCTCTCTGGTGTCCAGAAAAGAGCTGAGTTTATGATGCTGTCCGAGTCCCATCTATGTATATGTACATGACCAAGACAGTTCCAGGGTTTATTGATCGTGATTGTGGCCATGTCTTCTTGATGTGCCAAAATATTCTTAGGATCCTTCTCAGGGACTTTGTATGGAATGTAAACAGCTTGCTTACGTCATTATCTGTCATTCTCCCAACACTCTTATCCACACAAGAGGATAGGTAGAATGCAGCTATTGTATAGATTTAACTTTGCACTTATTGTTAACTGATTTGTTATCCAGTTAGTGTGTTGGTTGTTGAATGCTGCTCTTGTGTTGGATAGTCTCTCTCTGTTGTCGACCTATTGTTACTTTGCTACCAGGGTATATAGAGGTGTTGCATGGAAGAATGTGATTTTCCACCTTCATCCCTTGACAGTTGTAGCTTTTTTAAATTTAGGGTCATGACCTCTGTCTTTTTGGTGCTGATCTTCAGTCCAATGATTCCTATATATTTAATTTGTGGTGCCTGCTTTTTGTTGTTGTTTTTTTTTAATGTTCTGGAGGGAGTTTGAAAAACAAGCTATATCATCAGCAAAGTCCAGATCTTCTAGTCTTTTAATGTACCACATCTGCATGATGCCTCTCGGAATGGCAGATGTTGCATTCTTCATGACCTGTCCCAGTCAATGGCCATGATGAATAGTATTGATGACATACAGCCTTGAAGTACTCAGTCCTGTTTTGACATCAAACTGAATGCTGGTGTTTCCAACTCTACATCTAAAGTTGACATAAAAACACTTGATGACATCTATTAGATGTTGAGGTATACTATAGGTCTATATGACTGCCCAATTTTCTAGAGACTGTCTCTATGAATGCTGTCAAAGACTTTTTTTCGAAATCAATGAAATTCATATAATTGCCATTCTGTACACTGCTCAATGATGTTAGTGTAAATTTTTGATGAATACATCCTCGATCGCCCTGCCATAAACCCTATTTGTTCTTCACGCAGTTGGATATCTACAGCTAAGGATATTCTGATGATGATGATTTTAGCCATAATCTTACTTGGGATGGAAAGAAGTGTTATTCCTCGCCAACTGTTGCTGTCATTCAGGTTGCCTTTTGTTGGTATATTTTAATGGTGTCTCCATGATTCCATTCATCTGGAATGGTGTTGTTTTTCCAGATGAAATATATGGAAATAAAAGACAGTATTCGAGCTCAGAAGTCCATTAAACAATACAAGATAGGCCGCAAATCAAACACAGACCTCCAAAACATCGGAGGTGGTATCAGGTGCCATGGAGGAGTTAACATCCCCCTGCCGATTGGTCACACCTGCCGTGAGCTCAATGTCATGATCGGGAAATAACGAAAATAATCCGTGTACAATCAATTGGCCTAACAATTATTTATATGAAAAACGTCGGTCAGCATTTGACTCAATAATAAATTGTATATGCTGACAAGGTCATTGTATCGACCTCAGAACTAATGATGACTTTAACAGACTGCTAAAATTCTTGTATCAGCAACTTGTTTGTCAATGACTTTGTTTTTAAAAATTGTTCATACGGAGAACGTCATACGCATGTTCCTGCGTATAGAATCGAGATTTAAACTTCGTATGCTGGTGCTGAAGGTACTAGTAATTGCATGCATTAGTAAGGGGAATTGATGATGTCATTGAAAATTGTTTTAAATAGTTCTGCATTTTTAAAAGTTGTCATACCCAGAGGGTTTTCCTTTTTTAGAGTTTGTATTGCAAAAACAATTTCTTGAATTGTGGTGGTTCAATGATTATGTTTAGGTCAGCTACTGAAACACTGTCTGTCTGATGTCTGAGGTTCAAGAGATGGAGGTGGTTTGTTTCCTTAGCACCTGCTTAGAATGCCCTTTCCATCGTCCCTCCGTCTCCATCTTTCTCTGATGACAACAGCTTTCCTATAGTTTGCTCCTGACAGGTAGATTTGGAGATGGTGTATTCCTGCCACTTTATGAAATACAGTGTGAGTGTCTGTGTAACTGTTTAGTTGCGACGTTGTCTGAAGCTATCCAAGTAAAACAATTTGAGCAAAGTTTTCTAGACACGAACAAATCATCATTTGCTGCTTGTTTCTTTATATTTCAACTTCACTATTGCTTATAAATTAAAATGAATGTTAAAAGATTATATATAGACCGTTTGCAACATTTACTAAAATCAGGACTTGGGGGGTGAACAAACATAAAAATATGTATGGACATATTTCTTTAATAACATTTCTAAATAGCTATAAAGAATTAGAAATATCTACAAATATCCCGTAATTAATTTATGTGCAATATTTTTTGTGAGAAATTTGCCTATGTAGCAAAACTTCATTCACAAGTTATCGGGGGAAATTGTACAATATTAAGCAAGTCTCGCCTGACCTTTTATAATCGGAAGTCACTGGAGCAACAAATCCGGGAAAATAGGATCCGCTTATGTTTGGTTTAAGCATTTATGCACGCTTGAAAATTTCCAGCGTCATCCGATTCTAAATTCTACTTTCGAAACTACAAAAATAATGATGTCGTAGATTTCATATTGACTCTTTTGGTTGAAAATATCAAGATGGATGTTGATAATGAGCTGGAGGGTAAACTGCTTCAGCAGTTCAGCTCTATGGGAACAACTGATAAAGAAGTTTTGATCTCGGAATTTCAGAAATTACTAGAACCAAACCAATTGAATCCAGCAGGATGTGCGTTTTTTCTTGATATGAATAACTGGTGAGTGTTGGTAGCTCCCAAGTTTGCATGGAGCATCTTTTTCAGGACTTCCATTTAAAAAATCAAAATCTGTTTACGCATTGTTCTACAAAATGTGAAATTAATACTAGGAGCCTGGAGGCATAACCACTCTCAACAGCTCATTCTCCTATTGTTTCACTTTTTTAGTCCTAGTAAAGAAATTTCTCTTAAGACTGGCAGTAAATTATTAAATTGCTGAAAGACTTTAAGTCCAGAATAAAATATATTTTCAACTAATATGTTGATGGTGCGACCGTTAGAGCGAGCGCAAACTCTTCTATTGTTTTAACTTAGATAAACCGTTACATAACCGCATAGAACATTCTATCTAACGATGAGGATGTAAGTTACAAATACTGAAAAAAACTTTGAACAGTCTGAAAGGCACACAAAAGTTACGTTTACAATTTATCTTCAATATGTATCCATTTAATCAAGGCGAGTAAAGTTTTTGTATATACATTTACATTTGCAAATGCAACTTTGCTAAGTGATATATAAAATTACTGAAAGCAAAAAATTCTAAAGAATGAATGTGCAGTAATACATTTTCTCTTCGCCCAGGCGTAAACATTAGATGTAAAATTACGAGCGTCGACGCACATTCAATGGATTACTATAAAGACTATAAGTCCAGAAAGTAAAATAGTACGTGATAAACCGTTACATAACCATAGAACATTCTATCTAACGATGAGGATCAATGACAGGCTGTTTTCAACTTTGTATACATCTATGGCACACAATATTGAGACAATTACATGTACTATCCTAGTGTTAGATACTGGATAGAATGGTCTATCTTTATATAATTACATTTGAAAATGTTTTCCTTTATATAACACCGCAGAAAGCAATGCATATCTATATAAACCGTATAAATACAGGTTCCTCAAACGTCATAAACATTCGCTGTAAAATTTCTCAGGGTTGACGCACATTCAATGGATTACATAAATGCTGTTGAGTTAGATAAATAAAATATTTCACACAGTAGACGTTATAATCAGGCAAATATAAAATACATTGTATGAACATGATGAATAAGTCACAAATGTAAATATATTCAATTTCTTTATTGATTCACCAAACATGTTGGCATACAACCATGTTGCATACAAAAGACAAATAATAAAATACATACATACATGCAAGTGTATGGATCAGTGAAGTCAAGCATTGTCAGGATTACACAGTACTTTACAATGATTTTCTTTCAACATGTTATCATTTAAATTACAGATGTTGGAAGAACAGTACTTTTTTTGCAAATCTTTATATAACTTAAGAGACAGTCACATATGAAATGTGTTTCACTTTCTACAGCAGTTTTACAATAGTGACAAAAACCAGATTCTTTTGGGATACAAGGCTTTGAATATCTGCCTACTTCAGTTTCTAAAGGATGTGCAGAAATTCTCAGTTTTGTTAATTTAGAACATACGGCTTTATTTATTGAATATCTTAAGTAGTTTTGTAATTTATAATTCTTTCTAATTTGACAAAAAAAAATAATAAACCACATTTGGAGAATTCAATGTTATGAAGTTGCAAATTAAAATTTTTTTATGTAAGTAATTCTATTATACTAATAAGGTATCATTTTAAAAGGCTATAAATACTGGTTGGTATGAGATCAAATTTACCATAAAAGCCTGATTTATGGAATTTGATTCTCGTGACCAACCCTTATTTATAGCCCAATAGATGTTAAAAAAGAACACCTTTAATGGTTTGGGCCGTGCATATCTGGATAGTTATGTTGGTAGAGCACCTGACTAGTGATGCAGGGGTTCCAGGTTCGATTTCCAATCCAGCCATACAATTTCTCCTTTCCTGTTACAATTAAAATAAATGTCCTATGCCCTATGGACCCAGTTTAACATGGTGAAATCTTGTCCCGAGACAGATTATTTTGACTACCTTTATCATCTATATTGTCATCCTGTTAAATTATAAATAGGATTACACAGTTTTGTGATTTTCATACCCAGTAAATGAATAGCATGCATATTTCAAATTCAAATATACATGTATATCCTTGAGTATTTTAAAGTAATTAAAATTCTCAACACATGCTTTATGTGTCTGTAATTGCATTTTATTAAGTAATAAAAAATGCTTTGTAGGAATTTACAGGCAGCTATATGCTCATACTATGATTATGACCAGCCAACAGTGCAGCTGCAGGTTCCATGTATGAAGTTTATTAAGGATGTTACAATTGGGGAGGGGGAGGCTGTTCCTCCTAACACCACATTTACCAAAACATGGAGAATACAAAACTCAGGTGAGAATACAAATCACAAACTTTAGTCAGTAATAGCAATTGAGTATTTTAACCATTTTTATGATTTTGGCTGTATACATGTAAATGTATTTCTTTTTTAAGACTGTTAAAAGAGCATTACACTTTAATATATATTTTCGACTTCAGTTATTTACAATAAAAGTTGTCAACTTTCATTCGTTATACTACAGGAGATGACAGATGGCCGCCAGGCTGTAATCTACGGTACTGTACAGGGGACAATTTAAGTAACACAGATCGGGCCATTGTGGATGCTTTACTACCTGGACAGGTAACAGATGTAAGTGTGGAAATGCACAGTCCCTCCAATACAGGTGTTTACCAGAGTCAGTGGAGGTTATCCACACCCACAGGAATGTTTTTTGGAGGTAAGTCTTTTTTGTTGAAAAGTGTGTAAGATAAAAATGCTTTATAGTCTAGTTTCTTGTCTCATGGAGGAAAAAAAAATAGTGTAAGAAATGTTTAATATGCTATGGCCATTTGTGCGTCTTGCGGTGTGCGTTAACTTTTTAGAATATTGGCCATAACTCAAGAACCCCATGGCCAGTTATTGTCAAATTTGTCACAGGGTATCCTTGGCCCAAGGGCTACCATTTATACTAAAACTAGGGGTGGGACCCTAAAACAAGGGGAGATAATCATGAAAATAAAACCAAAAGTACTGGTTTAAAAAATCTTCTTCTCCAGAAAAAATTTTCCCCAAACTTACATACAAGGGTCAGGATATGTTGAAGGTTAAAAATTGTTCAAGGCATGACCCTGGGGCAAAGGGCAAAGTCTCAAGGTCACTTCAAAGTTGACCAAAATTTACACTTATTACAAACGTTGATATTTTGCTTACTATAAAGACTAGGATCATCAAATCTTGTAAGTTGATGCACTTCAGGACTTGACATCATGTACAAAAAAGTGACCTACTTTTTAAATTTTACAGGCTTTTGTTTTCAAATTGATTTGGAGGCATATTTTCGACACTTTAAGGCCTATGATCATAAAACTTTGTCAATTGGTGCATCTTGGGTCCACAAACAACATCAACTTAATGTCACAATGAAAATATAGGTCACAGTGACCTACTTGTGACATTTATGGCTATAGTTAAGTATTCTAGGGTACTTATTGGCTTAGAATTGTCAAACTTTGTCAGTTTATGCACCTTGGGTTTTTCGGAGAATGTTTACCAATAAGTAGGTCACTGTGTGTGTGACCCACTTTTGAATATCTCAAGTACTTTTTGACTTAGAATCATCAATCTTTGTCAATTAATGCATCTTGTGTCCTCAGAAAATTTCAATCAAAAAGCAGGTCACCATGACCTACTTATAGTATTTTATAGCCCTAACTGCTAAGAATCATCAAACTTTGTCATTTGTCTTAGGATAGATTGTATAATTTATCAGAAGAGCGCTTCAAGGCCCTTGGGCCTCTTGTTTTGTTTTTTTTTTGGAAATCAAAGTAGACTTTGAATAAAACCCTTTGACTATTCATACAAAGAGTACATATTTTGAATGTGATTAATTTGTGAAAAACAATTTAATTGGTAGATTTGAGAATGGACATTTTCTAGGTTGGGCTATTTCTTTTGTTAAAAAGTCCCTTTTCAAGTTATTGTAAGCCCTACCTGGACTACATTTGCATTGATAACCTCCACCCCCACCCTCCGACTCTGTCTAAATTTATGCGTAAATGGAAATAAATAATGGCAGAGTAAATATCTATGAATAATTTTATTTCTCTATTACAGATGTGATATGGGTGATTATTCAGGTAGATGTTGGAGGATTATTAGATATAACACAAAAAATGTCCAAATTTGGAACAGACTCACAAGGGCATTCTAGTCATGCTCAGCCTTTACCAAATCCTTTTGCTTCCCCTGTGAAAAGTAACATTAGTGAAATCCCCAGACCAAGTTTTTCTCCACAACACTTATCATTCCCTGGAAGTCCTGTCAGTAATATGTCTCCTAATTCGTCGATGACCGCACAGTCAGGAAGTCCGTTTGCTGCACAACTCAGTCCAGCTTCTACCATGGCAGGAAGTCCGTATTCTCAACAGATGACTTCTTCAGTCACAAATAGTTTTTCTGCTGCATGCTCACTCTTTCAGGTAAGATTTAACTGAAGTCAATCTAATTTCACAGTTTTTTTAAATAATTGATTATGAATAGATCTTAAAAGTTTTATCTTTCATGAAGAATTGAAAAACAAAATAAATGTTTAAATAATTCTGAAATAAAAATTCTATGATTATTAAAACATTTTCCATGATACAGATAAAAAGTCTTAGAGCTTATTCAGTGAGGTTGAAGGAAGGCCAACGTTCAAAGATTTCTATACAAATCTTTAAACAAAAAATTCATCCCCCATTGTGACCCAACCCTATCCTCAGGGGTAATTTTCCTTGTTAAAGTTAATTAATAGAACAGTGGAACCAGGAATATTTTGTATAGGAAAATCAACAGATTTGAAGTAATGTACCTTACAATGTAACTGCTGGTTTTATGATTTTGTGATTTATTTTTTCAGACACAACCAGATAAATCCTGTGATCTCCAAGATTCCACATCTGAATTAGACATTTCTTAGCATTGACTCAATGAATTTCTTACAAGTGTAAGTGACACTGTGACTCGCACAGAAAATGGGACTCAATGACTACACCACAAAGACAGGACTTATTTCAGTGTCTACATGATAGATTATATTCTGTATTTATGGAAATGATGATGGTAAGTGTAAAAAGTCTGAACATATCAACGATAGGTATCAAAAACAAGTTGAATTTCTCCATTAATTGTTATATGTTTATTGGGAAATGTAAGAGTTTGTAATTTCTAAACCTACAGTGTCAGTATTTTATACAATGTTCAGTTTTCAACCAGAACTAATAGGGGCTTTTAACCAGAATAAAATGTTTTATTTTGTTTTACATAATAATCTTGTGGATCCTGGCTTTTTGTATTTAAGTACACAATACATTGTATAAATGCATGAAAATGAAACCTTTGTTGGATTTTGATAAAGAAATAAAAGCTTCTTGACCGAGAAGCAAAATTGTTAATTTATCTATTGCCTTGTTTTCTTTAAGTCAAACAAAACTATGTTAAAATTGTAATGAAGCTTTATTGAAGCTTAAGTTATTTCATTCAACACGAGTTATCCCATCCTTGCTGTACCTCAGTTTCCAAATAAAATACATGAATGAAATTTCTAGGTATAATTTAAGGTCAAGATCTAGTAAATGAAAGGTGCCGACAGATTAATCAAATTTGAGAAACAAATTCCTTTAATGATGCTTTACAGGCTTAGGATGGTCAAATAAGGTGTTTCTGGACATAATTTGTAAATAAACAAGATGAAAAATTGTTTTTAAAAATTTAATTTGAAATGCTACAATTTTTTTCCATATCAGACAAAGAAAATGTATCCAGATTGCCTGTCTCTTATTATGTTGTTTATTTTGAAACGTTAAATTATAATGATTTATTCATTTTATGAATGACTGGGGTTTTTACTTCATAACCCAGAACTTTAGAGAAAAGGATTGATGCATCTCTTGATGCAACATTTATGTAAGTGTGATCCATGTAGCTTGCAATATTACTTACAAGTAGATCTAATCAAAAAACAAATCTTTTTCATCTTAAGAAAATGCGAGTAAGACCCACTGTCTGACCCAATCCTAGTGTGCATCCCTAAATGCTTCATCCATACAAGTTAGGTCATCACAGGGCTTATGCTTGGTTGGAGATAGATTAGCTCTTACTCTCTTACCATTTCAGTCATCTGGTAAATGTTGATCAGTGTGCTTTCCTGGATTCTTCAGACAAGCGGGTTTTCGTCTGCCTAAGACGTATACATACATGTAGTAATTGAACTTTTCTCAGAACATAAGCTGTTCAATAATTCAGAAAATACTGGTCGAATCGGTGTGTTCCCATTTCGCCTTAACTGTGAAATACAGGTAAGAAAAAGTTAAAAAGTACTAAGGCGAAATGGGAATTTTTGTATTTGTAAATATTGCTAAGTTGATATAAAAATTTAAATGATAAAAATTTTTAGATTGAATTTAACAATTGATGGGAATTTATGAATACTGTGAATGAAATAATATGTGTAATACCCAAAAATACTTTATGTTAAATACTTTAAATCTTCATCATCTAATTCACATGAGAGCTTACTAATCCTGAGGGTTTGGTCGAATCTAGTATTGAAGCAAGTCAGATAGTGTGCATCCTGAGTACACCGTTCATTCAAGCTTTGAAACAGTAACAACACACAGGCACCTGACGTTACTTATTTTTCTTTTAATAAAAAAATATACACATACCGAATAATAAATTATTATTCGGTATGTGTATATTTTTTTTATTAAAAGAAAAATAAGTAACGTCAGGTGCCTGTGTAACAACAATATTAAAACTTTATTTAAAGAAGGTAACCTCAACTAACCTGGTTAATGCATATAATATTCTTCCCTGGGGCCTTCTAAGACCAGACAGAATGGCACCATCTGCGTTTCATCGAGCTAAAAAAGAAAGGAAGAGTAACAAGTCATTTTGCTTCTTTCATTTGCTTCTTTTTTACGATGGACATTTGTGATGCTGCAAAGGACTTGCTTTTGTGATGTAAAATGTAAAGTAATGAACTCATTGAACTGTGATCAATCTCATAAATCCAGTAAACAAAAGAGTCATAAACAGAACAAAAACATGGACCCTCGAAAACACCAGAGTTGGGATAGGGTGCCTAGGAAGGGTTAACAGCCGCATTGGCCATCAGTCTTATGTACTAGTCAAGTAGACTGAGTATTCCAAAGTTAATAATGACCTAACAAATAATTTGAAACGTGTCAGACAAAATACGACCCAACGACAGTCATTTGAGAGACAGCCGAGAATGTGCAGGTAATGTTGAAATATGTTAATAGACAAGGGACGCTGACGATTGAAAGCTGATCCCGTCTGTCATACAGTTTAATTGTTTTTTTTTTTGCTTCTACCGTCTATAGTCAGTAAAACGTCTAAATATGAAACTAATGTGACGTCTTTTCTTTCGAGTTCACTGGAATATAGAGAGTAGACATATCAATAAATATTGAAAACCGATTTAAAAAAATGTTCGATATATATACACTGGTATCTATACTAATCTGAATGTCGAGGTTGAAGGCCACAGCAAGGTTGTTCTTGTGGCGAAGATACATTTAGCTTCATAGGGATATAATAAAATAGCTCAGCTAATAAAAAAGCTCATTTACTGTCTTACAGTCTGTTTGAAACTCAGCGTCTTTAAGGTATACCTTTACTCAGATGACTAAAAAATTCCACTGATGAGAACGAAAAACCACCTATTGCACATTGTACACCTATAATTCTTGTGTTAAATTTTGATTTCAAATAATTAGGTCAATGACCTACTAATCATGCTAGTGGCCCCTTAGTATTTCTCGGAAAATACGTTGATTTTTCACACTAATTGACCAATTTTCACACTATGACCAATTTTTTCTTCACTCACAAAATAATACAAGCAACAAAACTCTATAAATATTGAAATATTATTGCAATGAAACTCTGTTGCTTCATATAAAGAAACGATTAGAGTTAGGGTCAAAAACTTTTAAATTATTACAGTCCGAATTTCCTCTGTCATATTTGTATTTTTCCCCATTTTTAATCGAATATTAAAAAAATATGACTGATGAGAACTCTAAATTATTTATAGCCTCATATTACCTTTGTTGCCATAATTCTCATGGTATTAACATTATATGGGGTCAATGATCAAATTATTGAGATATATTGCCTGAAATGGTTTTTGCTCATATTTCTGAATTTCTTTATTTAATAGCATTTAATTATTTGAAATAATTTATTAGCTTTAAGACATATAAAATTTGAAAAGTGATGTCTGAAGAAACATACAATCTTTACATTTTGAAAATTATTGCAAGAAATAAAAGATTTTGACAAAAATGAAAAAAATAAAAATTTAGTCCGAATTTCCTCTGCATTACTATACATTGACTTTTGTTCCTGTATATTTTCTTCAAATAATAAAATATGAAATTTTAAAATTGATATTGTGTTAAAACTTAGTGATTTTATCCATTTAAAACAATTTTTGATTTAATATATTATACTTTATGAAATTTCCTTTCTGTTTTCTGAAACCTGAGTAAACATCATCCTTAAAGTATCAACTTCGGAATCCTCGTACGTGGAATCAATGGTTTTTAACAGAATAATTTATTTTGTTACTGACCAATCTCAAGATATAAAATGTATGAATTCCATGTTTATTGAGCAAGTTTTCTATGATGCTAAAGCCTGCTTTTCAACTAATTGCAAAGAATGGCTCCATGAAGCGTAGAAAAACACCTTCGTTTTTGAGCAAATTTTGAACAATTTTGTCAAAACAGAGTTTATCTTTAAGTATTTGTTTAAAATATGAATGTGATACATCTGTTTCATGTTTTGATATTTTACTAAAAAAGACGTCAACTACATATAGTAATCTATTGAACAACAAATCTTTATGATAAACGTGATGACTTTAACTATTCAATTGTCAGCTTCCCTTACTCATGTAGCAATATACCCTTCTCACATATATATGGCACGCCAAATTCACAAAAATGAGCTAAACCTAGTTTCACAATTGATAAACTAGGTTTATCGACTGTAAACTATAGTTTACAAACCGTATACTATAGTTATGGCACGCCAAATTCACAAAAATGAGATAAACCTAGTTTCACAATTGATAAACTAGGTTTATCGACTGTAAACTATAGTTTACAAACTGTTAACTATAGTTAACGATTCGTTAAGTATAGTTTTCATCTGTAAAACTATATTTAACGGTTGTTAACTATAGTTTACGAATGATAATCTAAGTTTATCTGTCTGTAATAAGCGTTAACAATAGATTTTGTTGATAAACATAGATTCACGTTTGTAAACTATAGTTTACAATCGTAAACTATAGTTAAGAGTTGTTAATCATAGTTTCACAAATCGTGAAACTATATTTATGAGATCGTTAACTATAGTTAACGGTTTGTAAACTATAGTTTACTAATCGTGAAACTGTATTTATCAGATAATCTATGTTTTGCAATCGCAAATGTATGGCACGCCAAATTCACAAAAATGAGATAAACATAGTTTCACAGTCGATAATCTAGGTTTATCGGTTGTAAACTATAGTTTACGGACTGTAAACTATAGTTAACAACGTTAATCTATATTTTACATCCGTAAACCATAGTTAACGCGATAATCTATGTTTTGCAACCGTAAACTATACTTAACACTGAAAACAATCATTTGCAATTGCAAAACATAGATTATCTGATAAATACAGTTTCACGATTTGTAAACTCTAGTTTACAAACCGTTAACTATAGTTAACGATCTGATAAATATAGTTTCACGATTTGTGAAACTATGATTAACAACTCTTAACTATAGTTTACGATTGTAAACTATAGTTTACAAACGTGAATCAACAAAATCTATTGTTAACACTTATTACAGACTGATAAACTTAGATTATCATTCGTAAACTATAGTTAACAACCGTTAAATATAGTTTTACAGATGAAAACTATTCTTAACGAATCGTTAACTATAGTTTACGATTTGTAAACTATATTTTACAGTCGATAAACCTAGTTTATCAAATGTGAAACTAGGTTTATCCCATTTTTGTGAATTTGGCTTGCCATACAAATGATTGTTTTCGGTGTTTAGTATAGTTTACGGTTGTGAAACATAGGTTATCGCGTTAACTATGGTTTACAGATGTAAAATATAGATTAACGTTGTTAATTATAGTTTACAACCTATAAACTTAGTTTATCGATTGTGAAACTATGATTAGCTCATTTTTGTGAATTTGGCGTGCCATATATAGTTAACGATTCGTTAAGTATAGTTTTCATCTGTAAAACTATATTTAACGGTTGTTAACTATAGTTTGTCTGTAATAAAACGTGAACAATAGATTTTGTTGATAAACATAGATTCACTGTAAACTATAATTAACGATCGTTAACTGTAGTTAAGAGTTGTAAACCATAGTTTACAAATCGTGAAACTGTATTTATCAGAAAATCTAAGTTTTGCGATCGCAAATGATTGTTTTTGGTGTTAAGTATAGTTTACGGTTGTGAAACATAGATTATCGCGTTAATTATGGTTTACAGATGTAAAATATAGATTAACGTTGTTAACTATAGTTAACAGTCCGTAAACTATAGTTTACAACCGATAAACTTAGTTTATCGACTGTGAAACTATGATTAGCTCATTTTTGTGAATTTGGCGTGCTAAACCTACTTTCACAATTGATAAACTAGGTTTATCGACTGTAAACTATAGTTTACAAACCGTGAACTATAGTTTTCATCTGTAAAACTATATTTCACGGTTGTTAACTATAGTTTACGAATGCTAATCTAAGCTAGTTTATCTGTCTGTAATAAAACGTTAACAATAGATTTTGTTGATAAACATAGATTCACGTCTGTAAACTATAATTTACGATCGTTAACTATAATTAAGAGTTGTAAACCATAGTTTACAAATCGTAAACTGTATTTATCAGAAAATCTATGTTTTGCGATCGCAAATGATTGTTTTTGGTGTTAAGTATAGTTTACGGTTGTGAAACATAGATTATCGCGTTAACTATGATTTACAGAGGTAAAATATAGATTAACGTTGTTAACTATAGTTAACAGTCCGTAAACTATAGTTTACAACCGATAAACCTAGTTTATCGACTGTGAAACTACGTTTTGCTCAATTTTGTGAATTTGGCGTGCCATACATGTATATTGATCATTTTTCCTAGTTGATTCAATACATCGGAGCAAGCTTTACGTATAAACAATATCTAAAACTATGCAAGCTATTTACAGTCAAATATGCTGACTAATGTTTTTCATATTAATCGTAAGACCATTATTTGCATATGAATTTTTCTTTTCGACTGGTCATAACAAGAAGCATGCGGTGGATGTGACCGGTCGGCAGGGGATACTCAGTCCTCTATGTCACTTGATCCCACATCTGATGTATGAGAGGTCCGTGTTTGCTTTGCTTATGGTTTGTAATTTGTTAATGAGAATGTCACTGACCGTCTGAATAGCATGTTGTGCCGAGATAAGGGTTCCTAATTAAAACGTAAATGGTCATTATTCGCTCGATCTCTCTGCCGTGTCTGATCAATATACTATTAACCTTAAGTCCTAATACATTAAGGTGATAACTTAATATTTAGACAACCGTTTCATGTTTTACCCCTTGCATCTCCAATTTGAACTTAACACGCATGTGAGCTTTCCTATATACAAACTTTGTCCGCATATAATATGTGTCTTGGTTTATGTACCTAACCTTATCAAATTTTCTTTATCTTCTGATTTATTCCGCAGTTCGGCTTTAGTAAGGATCATGCCCCCTAATGCTTCAGAGGAAAAGAAATCTGTATAGAGGAATAAATCTCTTTGAAATGATCTACTGAACAGCAGATCAATGATAATTTAAATCAATTCGTAATTTGTTCAAATCATCAAATCATGGCCAAGGAGTTAGATAGATGCTACAATCGAGGTAAAAAGTCAACACCGCAAAAGCAATAAGATTGTAATCAAAAATCTCTGACAGAATCCCTGAATAAACTAAATTGAAATTAATACAAAAATATCATCAATTTTACTTCACGAAATACCAAAATCAAATAAGAATGTTTATTAAAAATTTAATTTTGGACAACATAATCACAATCATTTTTGGCTTTTTCATAACAATCGTTTTTATTTTAATTAATGTAACCACGTAATTCATTCACTGGATTTTTTTTACTACTTTAAAGAAATAAGGAGATAACGAACAGTATTCAAGCTCATAAGTTCTTTCAAACAATGCAAATCAGGAGTAGAGCAAAAAAAAGATCTCTGATTCATCAGAAGTTGGAGTGAGCATTCCCTGCCAAACTGTCACACCCGCCGGGAAATATCTGTTGGCAATTCAGTGTGTAAATAATGGCAAAATAATAAGTTTGTAAAATAGTATGAAAAAACGTCATTCAGCATTTGACTTAATGAGAGATTTAATTTTCTGACAAATTCATGTATCGACCATAGAACTTGCGAAATCATGACTACAGAATAGACTGTTTAAATTCTTGTTTCATCAATATGTTATTCAATAGCTTGTCTTTTTTTTTTAAAGAAATTGTTCATACTTCAAAAATGCTCTTGCGTATCGAATCAACTGAGTGACATTAATAAAAACTCATATGATGGAGATATGGGTATGTCACTACATGTCTATAAATAAGGGAAGTTGACGATAGAAAAGGTGATGTCACCAAGTTTATCAAAAAAGGATTGTGTTAGGTAACCATAAACGTCTTTTTCTAGTTTATTATCCGAATATAAAACACATACTGTGTCGATATCTTTTATTTTAGACTGACTTGGATTAATGAAGTCGAAATATCAATGGAAGTAACTATTTTCAAATGAGAATATATATAATCGATATACATGTATTTAGATGTAGATATGAATGTCACAGAAAGTGTTTCTCCTTCTCATGTATAAGATTTGGAATAAATTCTGGTTCATGTGAATAAAAAAAATAGGGCGAAATTGTTACCCATTGGAATTCCTAGACAACTACTTCTATGAGTCATTATCTAATCAGACTCTTCTGCATAACAAGATAAATCATTGTTCGCTACCTTTGCCTTTTTCATTAAGCATCACAAACTTTTACTTTCGAACTAATTTTTTTTAATGAAATAAGAATTTACTGTAGTATTTCTGTTATTTAAAGAAATTTACTTTTAATAGTTTTATAACATCAAAATGAACATGTTTTTTAAAACATGGATGCATTTGATTTACAAATTCAGTCATCCCTTTAAGGAATATAAGTTATTTTTATAACTGTGTTGGAATAGTTTTCCGCTCTTAAAAATGTCCAATCTCATTCAGAGCATCATTTCCTTACTGGCAGATTAATGCGGCTTCCTGCCAAAAAATTAGAAGGCCGCCCCCTTTATTAGCTCCTTAATCTCTAACTGCTGTAGGTTCCAAATCTATCTCTGATTTTTCATCTTTTTTCAGCACATTTCTTTTTACGCAACTCATGTAAACGATAGTTCATATATTGATAGCTAGTTAGTTTCATTTGTAATTAGTAATCATTAAATTAAAAAAATATATATTTGTACCAGTCTTCATATTATTCAAATCAGTTACACGGTGGTCCGATTGTTATTTTTTTTTCAGGAAGAAGTATCCAATTAGAGTTCGAGGAAAAGTTCACAAAAATGTTCAAGGTCAGATATTGAGTTCATCGGTCTTACATGTTTAGATATATCACTTTAAAGTGTCAATGTTTATGTATGCTAGTAATAATCTTAGTGTTCTAAAAGTCAATTTGTTATCATATTAACTTTATTCAATTGGTTTCCTGGTCCCTGAAGTAAAATGGTTTAGACTTAGTGTTTTCCCTCCTGTAGGTTCTGAAAAACTGAAAAATGCTCACAAATTGTCATTGAATTCACAAAAGGATATCTACTCAAGAAAATTAATTAAAGATCTTTGATGATGTTTATCACTTTAAATCAGATTTTTTTTAAAAAAGTAATGAATGCATTTGGGAAAAGTCGTGTCTTTAATACTAGTATTATATATTCGGCTCTATATTTCTTCTTTTAATTCAATTAGTACACATATGGTTGTTATTTCAATAGCATGTGATATCAATGCATAATAAATACATTCTGGGAAAAATTCTTCCTTAATACAAGTGGCACTTTGAAGTTTATATATTCGGGCTTATATTTCTTTTATTAATTCATATATTCAAATATTTGTTATTTCAAAAAATTGTGGCATCTTTAAATAATTAAACCTATCTTCAAATGAATTAAAGCTTGGCACTTTGAAGTTGAAATAGGCTGTAAATGTGTATACCTATCTCAAATTACCATATATTAAAATAATTTACATCTGTCTTTAAAAAAATTTACGTATCTCTAAATAATTGAATTAACCTATTTTCAATTCAAATGAATTTGAAGATAGGTACAATTGAAACATATCCACAAAGGAATTAAAGATAGGTAAAATTCAAATATACCTCAATCTCCTAAATAATTGAAAATAATGATAGGTTCAAATAAACGCAGAGAGATTTTAATGCATATTGGAGTAGTTGTTATTGTCAGTATCTTAATAATTAAAGATAGGTTCAATTCAATTGCACCTATCTTTAAATCAATTATACCTATCTTTGATTCATGGCATTTGTACATATCTTCAAATCAATTATACCTACCTTCAAATCTCATACGGATGAGACCTTAAAACCGAAATCCTGTGTCATGTAAGCGTTGGCATGATAAAGAACCCTCACTGCTCAGTGGCCTTTAATGTTTTAGTATCATTAACTTGGTATTAAAAAAAATAATTAGAAAAGTATAGATACCTGGAAAATTTTAGCTAATTTCGTAGAGGAATTAAGAAAAAATTCAAGCGAACGGTTTTATGGTACAGTTATTGGCTACTCGAAGTTAAAGAAAATGGTCTACTTGTAATTCTAGTTTCTTATCAGGCAATTGAACTAATTTATCATGAACCACATTCAGCTTAAAATATGTATCTTTTTTGTAATGATTATCAAGGTGCATAGAAAAAGAAGCACTCTCGAGTTTTTAAAGAACACGTTTATGTTTATAAATAACACGCTGGCACATAACGTACGTCTTAACGTTAGTATAAGCTGCACCAATCGATTGATGTTCAAGAATTTTATAAACAGTTGAAGGGGTTTGTGTTAGTGTAGTAGGCTAACAGCCGAGGCAATGGAAACTCCTGACATAGTGAAATTACTGGGTACTATTTTTTGCTTTATGATCGTTATTGTAGGAACAGCCAAAGTTCTGAAAGTTTACTGCTCTTTTAGTGATCCGGTGCTGAAGAAAATCACCAATTTAGTTATCATTATCTCCGCAATATCCTGTTGTTTACGCCTCGTAGCTTTGGCGATTGCTCTTATTTACGGTAAGTAAGATATATTATTCTTTAATCATTATATTGTTTAGATTTAATGGTTATGTTTACATTTTTTTAATTTACACATTGTTTTGCCCTGATGTGCGGCTTTAGCGTTCCAGGTAACCAACACCATTTTGATTTACTTTCCGTTATTTCATGGAGATTTTTTCTTTTGAACTCAAATTCATATATGAAGGATATGGAGGTAACGAACAGCATTCAAGATCAAAGTCCATAAAACAATACAAAATAAGAGTCCAAAAACATCAGAGGTGGGTTCAAGAGCCATGGAGGATTGAGCATCCCCTGCCGACCGGTCACACCCGCCGTGTGCTCCTTGTCATGATCAGGAAATAACGGAAAATCCGTCGTCAATTCAGTGTATAAATAATGGACTAACAATTAGTATGAAAAAAGTCAGCCAGCATTTAACTCAATGATTAATTGTATTTGCTGACAAGTGCATGGTATCGACCAAAGAACTTAAGAAATTATGACTATAAACGAGACTGCTTATATTCTTGTTTCATCAAATTGTTTGTCAATAATTACCTCGTTTAGAAATTGTTCATACGTAGAGCATGCTCTTGCGTATCGAATCAACTGAGATATGTAAAGTCCGTATGCAGGTGATGAAGGTATATTGCCACATAGAAAAGGGAAGTTGACGATACAAAAGTTAAAGTCATCATTTTTATCATAGAGGTTGGTTGTTAGATTACCATTAGTTTCTTTTTCAAGTAAAATATCTAAGTATGAAACAGATGTGTCAGACTCTGTGGTATCTTTTATCTCAAGCTCACCAGGGTATATCGTATCGATATACCATTGTTAATTGACAATACGTCGTCGGAATATCTAAATGTCGAGTTGAAGGCCACAGCAAGTGTTTTCTTCTTTTCACGCTTAAGATTTTGCATAAATTCTGCTTCATATGAATACAAAAATAGGTCTGCTAATAACGGAGCACAATTGGTACCCATGGAAATTCCAATAGATTGTTGGAAGACCTGGTCTCCAAGACATAGATATTGTCAGTCAGAAACTCAAGCATCTTTTTGATGTCAACTTCAGAGTACTTGTGTGTGCAATCACAATGTGTTTTAACAAAATAATTTTGCAAATGACCAATGACAAGGTAAGGTAATTTACGAGTTCCATTTCTATTGGAAAAGCAGCTCTCAAGATATCAAAAAGCCTGGACTTTAATTTATCGTTGGGAATGGTTGTGTATAAAGTTGAAAAGTTTTTAAGCTGTTGACTTTGGTAAAATCTTGTGATTTCAAATTGTCCAAAAGATCTTTAGAATTTTTGAGTATCCACATTTGATTTATATATCCCCAAATCTTTTGATTACGTTGACATAAAAAAAGAGATAATACAACTTTAAATATACTTAAGGAATGAAACCTTGAAACACTTGTTAAAGTGCCTTTGACAAGGTATCCAACATAGACTGCAATCGTCATATGAGGTCAAATTAGCAAGACACCTTAATGTGTTTTTGTATGTTTATGACTTTCTAATTGGTAGTTCTAAATCATCATTTATTTATAGAACGAAAATGAAACATTTTTTACTGTATTAATTACCGTAAGTAGAGTTTTTCTTTCCTTTGTCATAAAATCTGAGACAATAAAAAGTAGAAATAAAGTTAGATTACCTCATTAAATGGTGACTTTAAGCTGGCAGTCATATCCTTGAGATAATTACAAAATCTTCCTTGAATGTAAAGATGGAGTCATTTTGTTATAGATATATAAATGTGGTTTTAGCGACATATTTGACGTTTTATGCTTTGTCATATCTGAGCAAAATGATGTGTTTCAGTTTATGAAATCATAGTACAAAATATATGAAAAGAAGCAGGTAGAGGTATGTTCATGAAGCGAATATTGTTTATTTATCAGTTAATAAATGTTTTACCATGTTAAGTCTGAAATACTGATGAAATTTATACATTTTTTGTCAATGAATATTGATTTTTTAGAAGAAGTCGTTTATGAAAGTTGTATTTGTAACTACTAGTATACTTGAAAAAAGTGGCCGAGAGCATTTTTGATATTAAATTAATGCGCATATTCACATATGTTTCTTTCACAGCTTATCACAAATTGTACACTGTCATGTAGCTTTCTTTTCAAAACCTGTTAAATTTATTGATTTTTAAAGGGGAATGGACACAGATTCAGCAAAAAAAAATTCAATTTTTTCCCATTTTTTATGTTTACAAACACTTAAATGACGCATTTGATGACGAGTTATCAAAAATTTGTATTTCAGATGTCAAAATACAACTGAGACAGATTGAAGGCTCCCAAGCTTTGTCATGTAGCAAGGCCTATGTCATGTTTTTGTTAACATGAGACATGTTTGTTCAAAGCAGATTTTTTCCAATAAAGAAGTGAACTCCAAGTTAGATTAGACCGTTTCTGATGATTTGCTGAATTTCGTTTTGCAATAAACATGATATTTTCTACATGGAAATAAAATCAAGGCACGAGCCTTGTTTACATTGTGAAGAATTTTAAGTTTATAAATCAACAAATGATGTTCAAATTTTTGCTGACCATTAGAATTACCTTAGTTTGGAATTGTAAACAGTAAAAAAAATATGTTGAAACTGTGTCCATGCTTCTTTAAGCTTAATTTTTTAAACAAATAAATTTAATTCAGTATGCATGTGATTTGAAATTCAATAGGAGGAAATGTTCGTTTCCAATTTATTTTCAGCCTTTTCATTACGTTTCATTTTTGTCCCTTTTGATTGCATGTATAATATAATTCCTTTCCTGGAAGCCATTTAGCCCAAAATTTTTGATAGATCATTTGGTCTAGCCTATAGGTATACATACATTCTATTTTTGAACTTTTCACATTCACTGGAATTCTGTTACATATGTTTCTTATAGAAATTTTTAATGACTTTTGAAGATTGATTGATTATATGTTGTTTTACGCTGCATTTGAGAATTTTTCACACGTATGTGTAGAGACGTCATCATATACCGGTGAAGGGCTTCACATTTTGACCTTTACTCGACACTCAGGGCTATTGAGAAGTGAGAGATCTTTATCATGCCAACGCATGTGTAACGACGAAAAGTAACCCCCGTAGAATATTGACCGGGGGTAATTTTTCTACGTAGAAATTTGGCCCCCTGGTCAATATTCAACGTAGAAATATGACCCACTTTTTTGTAGAAATTGTGGCCTTGGGGTCGTTTTTCTCCGTTTGCAATGTAGAAATATGACCCCGTAGAATAATGACCCCCTGTCATTTTTTGATGCAAAAACATTCGTTTTGGTAGGAATATTCTTCTAAGGCTAATGCATACAGGTAATATCAAGCAGACTTATGATACGAAGTGTTCGTTTCTGAAAGCTTTTAAGCTTATATAACGAAATCAAAGTTATATTATACCTTATAATAATAAATGTTTTATCCCCATTAAAGGAAAACAATATATATTTAAAATGTTATAAGGCTATTAGAGCAAAGATACACACATTCATAGATTTGTTTATTGACGACGGATTTTTTCCGATATTTCCTGATCATGACAAGGAGCACACGGCGGGTGTAACCGGTCGGCAGGGGATGCTCACTCCTCCATGGCACCTGATCCCACCTCTGATGTTTCGGGGGTCCGTTTTTGCTCTGCTCTTATTTTGTATTGTTTTATGGACTTTGAGATTGAATACTGTTCGTTATCTCCATATCCTTCTTATTACATTTCATACTGTAAGTTTCCACAGTTATCATTTTAATCTTTAAAATAGGTCAATTCTAGCTGATGTCAGAAAAAGAAACTTTAAAAAAGTTTCCATAATTGTAAATCTCTTATATTTTACCCTGGATACTAGTAAATAATTTGCAAAAATCAAAATCAAGTTTTTTTTTTCAAAAGTTTAACGCGTTTGATCCCTATTTTTAAAACTGGTGCAAAAAAGGGGCATTTGCTTAGAAAATTAGATCTTCTGAAAATATTTGGTTTTCTATGAATGAAGTTTCAAACTTCTCATAAAAATTAGGGATGATTCAGCGAATATATTCCTGAACAGGAGTTTACACAATATAACATAATGCGTATGTGCATGAATGGTGATAAAGATTAAACATATATCTATAATGATCAAAGAAGAGGACTATATTGCAAGTATTTCTAATACAAACGTAAAATATAACGTAAAAAAGTAATGTATCAATTTAGTACTTTTATGCCCCTAGATCTAAGATCGGGAACATATTGTTTTTTTAGTCTCCTTTGTCATTTTGTATTACAGTTAATCGTTCACAAACTTTAATTTTTCTTAATGAAACTGATTTGATTAAATCCCTCTTTTTACATAAACGACTTTACGTATTCAATGGCGTTGATTGTATGTTGGTTTACGTCCTGTCCGAGGATTTGTCACTTTACAGAGACGTCACCATATACCGGTGCAGGGCTTCAAATTTAGACCTTTACTCGGCACTTAGGCCCATTGAGCAGTGAAATTTCTATCATGCTAAGATATGGCGTGATAAGTGATCTCGGTTATAAGGTTTCATCTACAGGACATCCGAACTTCCACTTCAAAGTGCTAAACGAAACAAGTGCCTGTGTTTAATTCATATAGTTATTCTATATATACCCATATTAATATCGTTAAATTACGTTGCTTTTCTTGCTTCTATGCAATGTTTTTAGATTTGTAAAAAAATTCAAAAATGAATTCAAATGGTTAAAAGTGCTAATTTCGGGGGGCCTCCCTACAAGTTTATGGTTATCAGAAACAAATCATGCCATTTTCGGAACAAAACCTTTGAATGAGAAAAAACACCCGAAAATATAATCATGCTACTCAATAAATTAATATTCATTGAAAATTCTGCAAGCCAAAGAAAATCCACACCAGATACATTGATTATGATGCTACTATTAGGATATGCAATAAAATATATGTTGGTAAGGAGTAAAGTACATTCCCCCTCCTTACATTTGAAAAAAAAATATCAGGAG